AATTTTATCAGTAAAGTATAATCAGTGAATTCGTACCCACTTGAGCGTTGATTGTATGAAACGATACGCGTATAACCAGAGTTATGTCACACAAAATGAACGAACGATAAGAATATTGAATGTTTGTGCTTTTCTTTTGTTCTCTATTCTTTTATTTATTTTTTTATTTAATACAACTTTGAGCGTCAATTCTTTTTTATCTTGAACATAGTTCCGAAAAAACAATACACCCATTTCAGGTGAAATATCCTTTGTTGCATTATTTTGTAAACTAATTTGCCTTAGTAAAATTTAATTGTATGTGTGTACCTTCATAAAAAGGCTAATCCCCGGTTTCCGAAAGGCCGATCAATGTTAAAATCAATTTAATCTCTTGTCAAGTCATCTGATTGGTTGACTTAATTTATCAACAACCAATCAGATGACTTGACAAGAGATTTAAAAGGAGATTAGTTAATTTTAGCGTTGACAAGCCTTTCAGAAACCGGGTGTTAGTCCAGTAGATCTGTATCTGCATGTTACATAGGTAACATGCAGATACAGATCAAAACAAGCCGATTCATCAGTCTTCATTACAGCCCGTCGTCAGTCAGGACACTAAAATAGCCCGCTTAAGTCGTAAAAGACACCATAAAGTGAACTCATCTGCTACTATCATCATTGTATGTCATTTTATATCTTAGATGAATTACAAGGAATCCCTGGTTGTGTCTCACAACGTGATTTTTTAAACTATGAACCCGTTTTTCACTTAGGACCTAAATCGATCGAAGCGCCATCTAGTTATTGCAAAAATGAAAAACTCAAATCAAATCAACCGTGGGCAGTTGATAGTGAAATGTGGAACTTACGATATTCAAACTTTCCTCGACCTTGCAAAATTGAACCTTTTATAATCTGTAATAAAGTCCTAAGTTTCATCGGTTTAGGGTTGCTTGATATGTTGGTGATTAATCTTAATGCTAATCCTGTCTTCAAGTGATGTGTGTCGCAAACGTCTGCTCATACATTCAATATGCGTTTTGTCCTTATAACAAAAGACAAGCGGTGATTTATGGTCAGGGATGAGTTAGACATTGTCATTCAAGGTATGATTAATTTGTACTATATAACAGGTAGGTACTAAATAATGATGGTAGGCTTTAATTTTATTTTGTTTCTTTAATAAATTTTACGGTTTTTTTTCCTTGTTCCTAGTTCAGTAGTAGGTCCAAAAGTGCTCAAGAACAATATTAGCCAAATCGGTGAAGGCATTTTTGAGTTAAAACATTACAACAAAAAGTAGCTTTGAATTTCGTATTATAGATTTTTGTTACTGGCACAGACAATGTAAAAGAAACCCCATAGAAAAGCATCCAACTGCTCCATTCTTATTAGTTTAGATTAAATCCGGAGTTAAAAATAATAATAATTAACGAGGTAAAAAGATCCACAACTACTCTAATTTTAATAATAACCTTATTAGCAACCATTATTTCCTTACAAGCAGAAATAATAGTGAGTAAGTGACTACCTACTGGGCACTATGACAAATGGTCAGCGTAGACAACACGTGAATAGAAACGTGGTCACAATTGTATGCGCGTGCGCCGCCTATCGGTGCACAGTGCACCCACTTCCGCACTAACAAAGCATTCAATTATTATAGTTTATTATGCATTTCTGTTTCTATATATTCAGTAACATGAAACCACCATCCAACCACTTCGTCAACAATAAAAAGTAATTTATACTCATTTTGTAGACTTTGTACGCGATCCGTAGGTATCGTTGTGTGTGGAAACTAAACGTGAATAACATAAACAGTTTTATTTCACAAATAATTTTATTAATAACCATCATTGTTTCAAACAAGAGACGTCTGAGGACTCTGAGGTCATCCTCATAAGGTAACGTAAGGCCAATAGTTTCCAGATCAACGGTTTGCATCCATCGTCTACTTTTAGAAAATGAATGATCTTATCCAAAAACTCTGGATTCTTGTAAGTGATTGTCAAAAAATCCATACAACGTGTGTAAGAAATTGATCGATTTTGTATTGAAACTGGTAATTATTATCGACCGAATTTGTCTATATTATTAGCAAATTAAGCAAAAGCAAAAGTATTAACCCGAGATATTGTAAACATGGATGGATGTTTGTTACTCCTTAACATAATAACTACCGAACAGATTTGAATGTAATTTGCCACAGAGATAGATAGAACTATAGCCTAGCATAACAGACAGCCTACTTTTTACCCTGACATATCAGGGCGCTTGAAGTAAAGAATAATTAAAAAAACACTTGTCCATTCCAGACACTTGTCATTCATTTGGCCAGTAAACACACTTGTTATCATTATTGACCTTAAGACGCATATTACTTAGCATACACATACATAAAACTGATAACTACACAGCCAATATGGCTCTTATAACTAGCTAAACGTGCCTATCTAAAAATTATGAACGTGTCATAAAATTCATCTCCAAAGTTTTACTGCAATCATAAAAGGTCCAGGTTTTTGATCCCGTCTCGACAAATGACCTTCAAAACCAGTTTTCAACTCCTTTCACTGGGAACTTTCCGACACATCGTACGAGGAAAAAATTTCAACTAATAACGGGATTGTAATACAAAAACTGACAAGAAAGATCGATGATCATGGAAAATCGGAGTAATTTTTCTGTAATTATCATACATATATTTAAAAAGTGGACTACTTTTTGAAAATACGTGTTTAAAGTTTCACCAACCAATTCCAATAAATTGCTTGAAAAAAGTTCCTTATAGCTATCGAATAAATTATTAAAATTATATATCACGTTTTCAACACATCATTGGGTTCTTTTTGTTTTATAAAATACTCAACATTATCATGAAGACTATAATAAACCATAGAAGTAGTTAGGAGTCATATAAGCTATACATAATTGAAATGTGCAACTCTGCTTCAAACAAAAAAAAACCGTGATGTTCTCTCTTTAAATCTCTTTAATAGATAAAATTAATAGACGATCTTAATCAAAAATATCTGCATCGATCTGCGTTTTTGTCAAAAACTCAAACGATTAGGGATTCATATCAAACATTAATTCGGCCTTCACTAATTATTCAAAATTTCTCAAGGTCACACCGAAAACTTCTCAATTCTTAGCAATAAACATTAAAACTAAATATGTTTCCGCTCGTAACGTTTTTCATCACGCATTTAATAATAATGGAAGTCGTCAAAACAATCAATATGACAAGAATTGATTGCCTATAATTGATCGTGCCAAATGTTGGACAACAGTGAATAACATTTTGGCGCCCAACTCGACGTGGTACCTATAAATTACACTAAGACTAAAGACGTTTCTATAAAGGTTGTAAATAAAATATCTTTTAAATTACGTGTTTAATTGCTGAGGCAAATTAATTAGGGTACATTATTCGGTCTGGGTTGGACATCGTACTGAGAAGAGGAATCGTTTAGACATCATTACTGGGTCAACCAACATCTCTGATCTAAACTATCATCGACATTTTTATAAATCACTTACTGACCCGGCGAACTGCGTACCGCCTCAACTATTATACTTTCTGACCTTTTAAGCATAAAATATTTCAAGATCAAAATTACTAAAATCGGTCCAGACGTTCTCAAGTTTTAGCGAAACTAACGAAAAATTCCAAAAAATTAATGGCTTAACACTCATCTACATGATACCATTTCTTGAACATCATCAGCCTATAAGTGCCCACTGCTGAGCAAAGGCCTCTTCGCACATTGAGAAGGTTTGAGCATTAATCACCAAGCTTGCTCAATGCGGGTTGGCGATTTCAAACTTATAATTAGAAATTATAAGTCCAGGTTTCCTCATGATGTTTACCTTCAGCGTATGTCAGTGGTGTCTAAATAATTATAGAAAGTATAAATAACTCGGAAAAAGTCACATTGGTACTTGCCAGGCTTCGAACCCACACCCTCATGCATGAGAGGCGGGCTCCTTAACCTCCGGACCACCACGACCATTTCTTGAACATACAAGAGCAACTATTCAATAAATGTAAGGCTCGTTTCCACAATACAACACGTAATGTTTAAGACCATGCAAGTCAATTATGGGGTTTATTATTTGTATGCAACAGACAAGAAACTACAATCGTGTAGATTGGGCCTTATTTGTCCAGGGATTACAGACGCAATCGCTAGTAAAGTCAGGTCACAGTCGTAGGTTCAATATGGATGCCCCTACAGGTGTTATTGTTACACCACCTTTGCTTACCTCTTGGGAAAATGACAAGCGTGATTTAATTTTATCATGAAGGCACGCACGTGCTTTATTATGCAATTCGCAAAGAGAAAGAATGTTAATGTGTAGTCGGATACAATCAGATTATTGATTCGTTTCAGTGATTTTACTCACAAATACCATAGCTATTTGTTGTGTATGGATAGAAAACCGAAAAAATGTACAAAACAATATACATTTTTACAACAAAACTACGTAGAAACAGCTTTATTTATAAATACGAGTATTTCCAGCGTCAATAGGCTTGTATCTCTATATAATCTTAAAAGTAGAAAAGCATTATCCGTATCTGTTAAGACATTAATATTAAAATGATGACATAATGATTTCAACCTTGATCGCTCCACACTAGTTCACGAGGTGCCGGCTATTACAAACAGAACATATGTTTTTTCTATTATTAGTCCTTGTATAGTAACGAACATGGCATATTGGCATCGTTTCCAAGACTCTAAATAACTAATGCTAATTTATTTGAATATTCTATTCAAAGTGATTTGTTTACAATGCATTAAAATCATGCGACATTCACATTTTCAAATTTTATTTGCGCATCATTTTAGTTTAGTTTTCAAATATCCCTATTGAGTCTTTGAATGATTTAATGATATTATCTTGGCTTTAGCAACTGATTTGGGAAGATGTTTGTGTTAAGATCAAGTCTTTATCATCAATTTTGAATGTAACGTTCGATGTAATAACATAAAAAGTATTCCTACCTTTTCTCCTTCCAAAAGGTCCGCAAAAAGAGTTTCCTTTCCCGATGATGTTCTCATCGATACATTTTATCAGTTTCGCGGCATCCTCAGACTGATTTTCGCGGGAGACCTCCCCCCATCTTGAAGGCAGATCCTCTTGCATGGATTCAGATTTTCCTTTAGTGCCTCTAGATTTCTTCAAAACACTTGTCATAATTCCAACACATAACACAGTAGAAAATGTAATTCAAAAGCACAGCACTTTTATTTATATTTTATTTGTAACACTAAAAATATGCGTTTGTAAATACGTAATAGTACGCACATGTAATACGGCGTTTTGTCCGCGAACGCGTAACGACCTCGTCGGATAGCGGTGTGGCGCGCACTGTGACTGAATTCTAATCTACGCTACTCGGCGGCGAGTGGCCTGACAATTGCGACGCAAACTCATGTTCGCCGCAGTCCGTGTTGCCAGCACAAAAATAACGTTTTCTACCACGATTCATATTTGAAAATAGTAATTTTTCTATTAAACTAAGGGAATATTGTTGTTTTTAACCATTTAAATTGTTTGCTACGCTTTATAAGGGAACTATATACTGCAACTATTGAATGTTGAGTCACAACGTGAACGAAGTAATCATTCTAAAGATTAAAGTCATTTCTAGGATTCTATGGATCGGTTTATGGGTGGATCTTAAGAGACATATCTATTTATTTATTTATGTTATGTTAAAACGGATTAGATCCAACTACATTAACAACAAAAACCAATAAAAAATAACTACATTCATAAGTTCCTCTCGCAGTAGACTACCTCATGCACTCCATCTCCGAACAAATCAATGACTGGATTGGATTCCAGGATATCGTTCAGTGAGACTAGAGTGCAAGGAATTGGTGAATTAGCACGCGCGATAGTTCGACATTGGAGTACAGCAAACATCCTGTTCTTTTTACCTCATCATCATCAGCCTTTAAGTGCCCACTGCAAAGGCCTCTTATCATACGGAGAAGGTTAGAGCATTAATCACCGCCCTTGCTCTATGTGGGTTGGCGATTAAAAACTTATAATTAGAAATCATAAGTCCAGGTTTCCTCACGATGTTTACCTTCACCGTATGTCAGTGGTGTCTAAATAATCATAGAAAGTACACATGCATGAGAAGCGGGCTCCATAACCTCCGGGCCACCACGACACTTCCCTCGGCAGTTGTTATTTGGAATATAAAAGTGTGCTATCGCTTCCAGGAGATCTGGTGCATCTATGGCGCCACGAAGTGTCTTATAGGCCACCACGAATTGGGTTCGTGTTAGGTTGGGTTCGTACCTCTAACGTATCCGAGGCAACCTAATAAGAATTTTGTCGGGAAAAAATGTAAGGATAGTATACATGTACTTGCTTGTATAAGTACCCAAGGAAAGCTTTTTGTACTTTCTCCATAACAAGTGCGTGCATATTATGTAGGTACATGATACCATTTTGTTAATACTTTATATCATTTTCATTTTTGTTAGAATCACACATAAAATTTGCCACATAAAATACTAAGATCCATGTTTACATAAAACAAATGCCTCATTATAGTACTTGTACCTATAAATAAGACGATATTACAACTGCCTAAGATGAGTTTCTACATCTGGCTACCGCTTTAAAGAAAAATGGCGTAATATTCAAATACACACATTAATTACAGCTAAACATAAGGAACGATATACGAAAACAGAACTGTTCTGAAGCTAAGGCTCCCAATGCCTACGAGCTTCGCTTAACGATATGTAATAAAGGGTAGATACCCAATTAACATTAATGAAACCAAACAACAAATAGGCGAATGATAACATACATATAACCTCTTCCAAAAATCAATCGCGTATCCAACCAGAAAAAACAATCAGTTACCATAGCAACGCACTTTGTTATTTCGCTATCGCGGAATTTTGTACCGAATTATTTTGTGAACTAGTTTTTCAAGTATTTAGACGTAAAAAATGTTGAAATTACAGATAGCCAGCGATCAGGACAGAAAGGAGGCTCAAAATAGAGAGAGAAGGAGGCAATGTGAGCTCGAAAGAAGATCTAGGATCTTCAATGCTAGAAACAGGAAGATTGGGGTAAGTCGCTTTTATGCATTAATAGTTAGTACACTACAAGTAATACTTTAACTTTCTTAACTTTCCGGAAAAGGAAAAAAGGATAGAAGGTACGGCCTTGCCCAATTTGCTCGAGACTTGGCTGGGGCATTACCGCGCCCACAGATAAGAAGACCTCACAACCATTACCTTCTACCTTCAGCCTCGTTTCTACTTGGGAGATTTAACGCTCGACAACGTACTCAACGTTTTTATTCTATGCCCAGAACAATATACAACCGCCACCATAAATACACGTACGCAAGGATGGTACGCGTGGATTTCGTTACAGGTGGATGTGACATTCCTGGAGCGTCAGATAGCGGAGAAGAAGGCGGAACGAGAGGAACAAGAACGAAAGGACCTGGCTTTCGCGAAACAGATGATCAAGGACAGCAACTTAGCTGTTATACTTGAAGCTAGGGAGAAAGAAGTAAGTTTTTTATTGCATAAGAAGGCAAACAAGTAGATGGATCACCAGTCACATGTCAGCGCACCCAATGGACTCCCATTGGCAGCAACGATTACTTACGAATACACCTGCAACCCTAGAGATTCCTGGCCTCAGGGAATGCGTTGCTGGTCTTTTAGAGAAATTTACGAGAAAAGTTAGAACATGATTACGCAATTCCTAAGCCTTTCAATACCACAACACTGCCTTGTCTTCGATACTAAAATTAGCAAATTTGAAATTTCCTAGGAACGCCGTCGTATTGGTGCAGAGATAGACTTATACCGCCAAAGATACCAACGTTTTGAAGATAGGCGAGAGTACGATCTCAACGATCCTGAAGTTCTGAAGAAGCAACTGCCGCCTAGACCTGGAGATGGCCAACCGGTGGGCTTGTCTAGTGCACAGAAGTATGTGTAGCAAATTAATTGACTTTTTTTCGCCTCTTAAAATTACTACAAATATTTCCTTAAAACTCTGGTTTTTATAGGTGGAGGTACGTAAATATTTAAGAGTTTATCTACCCTCATTACAGATTCGAAGGGGAAGATCTGGAATATGAGGAACGTAAGAAGATCATGGCAGCACAGAAGAACTCCTGGCTTGAGCAACAGGTGCAAGAGAGAAAGGCAGCCGAAGAGGAAAGGAAGAAAGCTGAAGCCGCTTACATGGTACATAGGTTCTTAGAACGCCATATTTTAATGAAGTCCCCAATGTCCAAACAGATTTTCGCTTCAGACGTCAACTCAACAAAATAATGTTTTCACAACATTTAAAGGGCACTAAGGTACATAATTTTTAACAAAATTGCTAACATTGTAGGTCCGCAAATTGTCATTAGCCCTTCTAACAAGCAACATACGTAACAATGTGGCAAAACAAATTAAAGCTTATTAACTAGGTGCTAGAATTGTGGTCACACAGTACTTATTATCAGTTACCGCACATATATTACGGATTACCGTATTGCGTGTACTTAGATAATTCATAGTACCAAACCAGGCCATTTGTAAATTGTATTTTTTATGTCGTTTACAAGTGTTTTGCCTGCTGCCTGCGAATCCTGCGATCTACAGTGCAAGACGCAAATGCTTATGATGAAAAATGAATAATGATGTGTTTGTGAACTACCTAAAGTTTTGATAACTCTTTCACTCAAATAATACTTATGAATTGGACTAGAATTGACTAGATCAATTTTTGGGATACCTTTCAATTGTAATAATTCGAGACACAATAGAAGGTTAATAGGTACGCGAATGCTGGCTGTTCGGTGATGTTCGATAAATGAACTTACTGGAATAATTTGTAGTTATTGTAGACATTTATCAGAACAAATTGTGCAGTTCCCACATTTTACACAAAATACTTCTGCAATTAACTAAAAATCGCGGGTTACTCACATGTATATATTGAGAGAAGCTAGCGCAGCCTACTCTAGGCTGACGCGCGCGACGTCGCCGCGTCCGCGCACGCTGCTCATGAGGAAGAACCCCTCTGTGGTTCGAAACTAGTAGAGCTTTTCTCAACTAAAAATCGCGGGTTACTCACGTGTATATAACACGTGAGTAACCCGCGATTTTTAGTTAATTTAGTATGTCTCACGATAGTTATTATAAAAACATACTTCTGCAATATTAATTTACGCTTTTTTCTAGATGGCCATAAGAGCTCGTGACAATCGCGCTGGAGAGCTGGACAAGTTGGAGCGAGAGTGCCGCTACAGACTCGGCCAAGCCAACCTTAAATACAATGAGGCTTTGGTAAGTTGTTATAGTTGATTCACTCATTATTATACTAACAAGAGAATCCAAATTACATATGCTTATAGAATAGACAAATAGTTAATTTAATAAATTGCCAAACAGGACTTTTAATGTCCAGGCGATAAAACTTGATTTCCTCAGCACTTATATACCTATAAGTGCTGAGGAAATCAAGTTTTATCGCCTAGCGAAAGCTGATATACTAATACGTGACTTCACGAAAAAGGCTCAAGTAGACATGCAACTCATCTTATCCACTACAATGATAAAAGTTACCAATAACCAGTAATTTGACCAGGCTGCAGAAAAGAAGCAACTGGAACAGGTCCTCAAGGAGCAAGAAGAAGCCGACAATACAGCAGAGATGTACAACAATCTTACTTCTGATATGCTCACTGAGAACCCTGATGTCGCCAAGAGTGCCCTCGGCAAGAACAGGTTTGTAACCATTAATGCGAATGTTCCAATAAGCCAAAGCATGGCATTTATAAAACTTCGTTGACAATTGTAGCTTTTGAGACAAGGATATGGTTATGACGCGTTTTTGCTTCTGTTTTTAGGGCCATCGGTTACATGTATAAGGGTATGAATCAAGAAGAGCTGAAGAAGTTCTACGCTGCACAGAAGGAGCAAATGGCTGCTTCCAAGGTATTTTTTCATTAGATTAGATAGACACCCGCAACAAAGGAATTAAGAGTGCGTTTACGACCTTTTGGAGATTAGGGGTTTGGAGATTTTGGGATTGGGGGAAGGGAAGACTGCTGACCAGAGTTTAGGGAAGGATTGGGCCTCATAACCTCACTCAAACAGCGCAAAACACAACGCTGTGGTTGTTTTATACCGGTTTTCTGTGAAGCATGGCTCTCCCACACTTAAGTGAAACTTAACTTTTCAAATGTCCATAAAGAATTACTTACATCGTTTTTTCTGGATATAGCTTATTGTAATTGTGTTCCTACAGGCTAAGCGAGATGCCTTAGACAAGATGGAGGCAGAATGGCAAGCCTTATCCAAGTCTATTCAACGTGAAGTTGCACGACAGGACATTGCCGATCAGAGAAAGAGACGGTAAATATGTTTAGTGACAGTTTTTCTTTGCGATTTTTTTGAGTGCAAAGTCTGAAGTTTAAACTAAGTGGCATAACTTTTAGAAATGCAAGGATTTTGTAATAGTAAACTGAACTAAAGATTTTTGGGCCATGTACTGCATTGATTAAAATTACATTAGCAATGATCCTACTATCCTTGTAACCTAATCATAGAGATTTCATCCTAATCGTAGAGTTTCTGAGAATGTATGGATGCATATTTATTATTCTTTCACGCAAAAACGACTGAACTGATTTGCTTTGAAATTTGCTACGTAGATAGGTGCTACCCTGGATTACCTCATAGGCTTTTAGAATAGAATTGATACCATTCCAAGCTAGCGACGAGGCGGACCAAGCTACAATAATAAATAATAACATAATACTATGATTTACAGAGAGATTGCTCGCCAATTGATGGAAGAAAACCAACTCCTAGCCTTACAACAGAAGGAGAAAGAGAAGTACTTCAGAGAAGTGGTGTACAACAACACTCCGACTGACGAATATTACGCGCAGTTCAACACTACGACCAGATAAAACGGACTCGCGTGTGGAGTCCACCATACTGTGTTCAAGTTTCAAGTCAAAATTGTTAGGTTTTTGGATAAATCTTGATATGGAAATTAGTTTTGATAACCTTTCATATAGGTAGCTAATTCAGCATCATTCTCATCTTTTCGGGAGTCGGGAATTTGTATGAAGCAAGATTTCTTCTAGTCTAACTATTGCTCCATAAAATCAAATAAGACATTGATATTGGAAAAACGCTTTCTTAGATATTGAATTTAGTAAAGTGTTTGAAATTTGACCAAAATCGATGTAATAATTCGTATGGAGCATTATAAGTTGTTAAGGGGTGAAAGAATAGTCATAGTGTTCTCAGATCACTTAAGCAATCTCGCACTTATTAAACATACGTAAACTGTTGTATGAAGCACATTTTTGCTAGAAATATAAAAAGGACACTGCATTGCCTTGCACTGCGCCAAGCTCAAATAAGTGCACTATGTGATAAATAAGTCTTGTAATTCGTTTTGCAAAAATGCTGTTTTTTTTTACTTATTTCTAGGGCTTTTATTAATAAATGTGTTATTATATTTTTTATCTTTCATTTGTTCTTGCATCTCACTTTTAACAAACATCGTCTCTTCATTAGTCAGTTGGCGACAATCTCAGAAAATGCTGACCAGAATTTAATACAGTTTTGACCAGTGAATAGTCATTCTTGAGGAAAGATTTGACCATCACATTTTGAAACAGTTACTTTGGTTGCGAAATCTATATAAAAAATATCGCTAAATGTGATGGTAAGCGCGTAACGCCTGGACTAATTTTCCAATTCTTTTTTTGTGTTTGTTATAGTCAGGAGAAATTCATTACGAAAATAAATTTTCGAAAAGTAGAGGGGATATGAAGTAGAGGGGCGTGCGAAACAGAGGCGGGCCGCTAATCTTTCATAAAAAAATACTAGGTACCCTACAAATTTCTGTCGATTTACTTTAGCCTAGGTAGTTAAATAAAAAACTTTTTACGAGAAAAATAGTATTTATTTGGAAAAATAATTTCAAGCATCACACTATTGTAGGTATAATAAATATGTCGATCACATTATAAATAGAGTAATTTAAGACTCATTTACACGATGCCATTTTCATAAACTTAAAAGGGGATTTAGAGGATTAATTATTATAAGTACAGTCAGCTCCAAAAGTCGATGAACAGAATCAACTTACCAAAACACCTGTTCACAATAAAACGCCATAAGTTATAGTCGCAACTAGGAAACAAAATAGCCTGTACACCAGAAATTTACAAAAGTCGTTACACACGACTAATTCAAAAGTATCTGTGCACTAGTATTCCTAAAGTCGCTGTACACCTTCAATCCAAATGTCGCTGAACATCATTGTATCAAAAGTCACTAAACAGCGGTAAAGACAAAATTAGGTTAACAAAGTATATGTCGGCGCACTGGCCATCAGTGCATGTAAAACCTCTTTGTTATACGTCGATGTCAAACTTCACTGTCAACTGTCATAATTATTTCAAGTCAATAGCGAACACCGAGCTCTGGTGAGGCGGCCTTCTTGTAAAACAGGACAATTAGTGTTGGACCTTCGTAGAATACGCACGCGGCCACGTGTTCGGTGGACGTTAAGTTTAAATTCAACCTAATCTTAATTATCCTTAGTTAAATACTAATTGTTTTTTTTGTGAGGGGAAAATCATCAAATGACTTCTCCCGCCCAGGGCCGGGCAGGAGGGAGTGTCAGACTCTTACTGACTAAAAACCCCCCTGTTCCTTCTCCTGCTCTGTGCCGAGGTCGCGGTGCCTCATTGCGCTTATCCCGCAACCCCGGCTGAACATCAGCCCTTTAGGGCCTTTAGACCACCACAGACGGGGGTCTGTGGTGGTCTAATTTGAGGCGCGCGCGGAACGCTACGCGCTGTACGCTCGGGCCTGGTTCTGGTCGGGCGGCGAGCTGCCCTTACTCGCCGACCGCAGGCCCGTGTTTACGGTGGCCGGAGATCGTCCCTCGATCCCCGACGCCCGTAGTGTCGCCAGTTGCGGCTACTGGGGCGTTTTTTAGGATTGCTCCCTCACGCGGGCCGCCTCTCTCTTTGCGAGCATGACTGCTTCACAAAAGGAGGAGACGGCGTCCCAGTTCCACTCACTCCGCACCATGGCCTCGACTAAGGCCGGGCGCGAGAGGTCGCCGCCGCCGATCACTTCCCTGAGGATACGGCGGTGCTCAGCACAGGCAGGGCATGCCGCTACCGTATGCTCCACCGTATCCTCTAGGTGGTAAACTGTAATTGTTGTGATTGTAATATCAAGAGTTGTAAGAAGAGTGATTATAGCAACAGTTATTTTATTGAAATACTGTCTTCCTGCCCAAGCGGGGCACACTTCTACCGTATATTCTACCGTGTCCTCCGGGCGATCTGTACTAGGTGACACCCGAACGTTTCCTCCGAACAAGATAAGAAAGAAAACAGCGTTTTTCAGCGTCGGTGTTTGTCGTAGTTGGGTTTTAGTTTTTTTACTCTGGTTGTTTTGTCCGCTAGAGGACGCCGCATTAGATTTTGTAATACATCATATAACTTATAACCAGCGGACAATTAAGACGACAATTAAGAATTCTAATGATATGTCATATGTCGAATTCTTTAAATTGTAGCATTGCCGTAGTCGGGTAAAAATAATAAATTAAAGGTAAGGTAAGTAAAAATAATAATCTAAATTCGTAGATCATTAGAGTTATGTTTATGTTATTTAATAAATTATAGATAAGTATGATTACTGACAATAAAATATAATTTATTTGTAAATAATTTTTGAAATATGTAGATACTAACGTGTTAACATACATTATTAAGTTCTAGCAAACACTGTCCCAAAAGTAGCTGAACAACATAAGCGTCAAAAGTATATTAACACGGGGCAACATTAAAAATATACTTTGTTAACCTAATTTTGTCTTTACTGCTGTTTAGTGACTTTTGATACAATGATGTTCAGCGACATTTGGATTGAAGGTGTACAGCGACTTTAGGAATACTAGTGCACAGATACTTTTGAAATTGTAGTGTGTAACGACTTTTGTAAATTTCTGGTGTACAGGCTATTTTGTTTCCTAGTTGCGACTATAACTTATGGCGTTTTATTGTGAACAGGTGTTTTGGTAAGTTGATTCTGTTCATCGACTTTTGGAGCTGACTGTACCTACTCATTTACATGGCCCCCATACGTATGACATAGACCATTGCAAGTCCATTATTGTTTTGATTAATTAATTATATATGCAACACAAACAAGAAAATTCCATCGTGTAAATAGGGCTTAATACAGACAAATATAATTAATACTGTATTTACTTACTACAAAACAAATTTAATGTACTATAAGTACGATAAAATAGCAAATTTAATTTGCTTAAATAAAAATAATAATTTACCTAATTGGCACAATGAGATCAAAGTTTAAGACGTGTCTTTATAATATCACTTGTAGAATTTAATTCTAGAATTTTCTATACTGGATTCTTAATAGACCGTTTCTGTAGAGTTTTCGTTTCCGTGGCGCTAGTGTAGTTTAAGGTCTCATGCAATAGATATTTTATATCCGATAGAGCATAGCGCTTGTTATTCTTTATTCTTGTTTGGCATACATAAACTGACAGATTTTTATGGGTAGTATTTAACGTTTTCTTCTATCAGTCAGATCTGAACATCAACCTCATTTTGAACTCACTCTTCTTCCCAAACGCCTTCCTCTCTGTGCATAGCAAACTAATGTTTAGACAACATTAAACACTCATGACAATACTTAGACTTCAGAAGCAGCTCATTTCATAAATTAAATTTCAAGCTTATTGTTTTGCCATAAAATTGAAAATCCATAAAATTTTGACACTTTTGAATAACTAGATATTCTGGCGTCTCCACAAAAACGAAAATCCTCATTGTTTTATTTAGGGCTTATTTTCAATGGTAAGATAAAAGTTACCTGGGGAATAATTATGATGCTGTCGAGTCAGAATGTTTGTATAAGACAATGACAGCAACAATTTTATTCCTCAAATAACATTTATCTGACTAATAAAAAAATTGACCTTAGTAAAGGAGATTGAAATTTAAAACTCGGTAAACTATACTTCCTATGCTTATTGCTTATGTTACAATGTTAAAAATCAATAAGCGTCATAATTTAATCATGTAGAAGTAATTTAAATCCAATCAAAGATAAACCGTTACATATTATCAGTGATATTCACAATGCGAAAATACATATAATTTTAAGAAACAAACGCAACCATATTTTATGGTTAAGTCAGTAGGTATATTAAATACCGCTTCGTTTTGTTTTTTTTTTTACAACAGTCCGATCGTTCCCTCGATGTAAGAATTTCATGAGGTATAATAATAATAGAACGTTATTAACATAGACAATAAAAATTCATACTAAATTTACCTTGCAAGCAGAATAACAAGGATGCCTAAAATGAGATATTTAATATCGCATCATAATCCTCAATCCTGATTGGTTGTTCATCACGTGATACCTTATCCCTGAATAAGTCCTTTGCGATGTAAGTTCATGATGGAATCAGCAATGATTCTAGCAGTTTTCCTCAAGTACCCTCCGCTTGTCAGCATTACGATAGGAATATTTTCCGCCTTGCACGTTTCAAAAACGAATTCGTCTCTTTTTACTATGCCCTACAAAAAGATATTAATGTATACAAACTCGGAGTTTCCCATCTCAATGTTATAATTAGGGCTGATTTTTCAATGGTTAGATATAAGTTGTCTGCGGAATAATTTTGATGCTGTCGCGTCAGAATATTTGTTTAAGACAGTGACAGCAACAATATTATTCCTCAGATAACATTTATCTGACTATTGAAAAATCTGGCCTTGAAATAATAAAACAATTAAAAAATATATAAACTTACAAATTCACTAATTCTCATGTGGCCCAATGGATCAGAATCCAATATGTCAGTTCCAGCGTTGTATACCAAAATGTCTGGCTTGAACTCCTTTAAGGCTTCTTTTAAATTCCTGAAATCATTTCATTACCTCACAATAATCAAATTTCTTTTCTTTTCATTATAAGCATAACAAACATATGTATATTCCAAATACCAATAATACACTTTTTCATTGTTTTGAATAAGAAGACAAGACAAAGAACTAAAAATGTAAATAAACAAAAAAGATGTGAGTTTTGCACTTACTAGATGGCGCTTCTAGCGCTTTAAGTCTCATATAGGGCTGATCAAAAAATGAATTCTATTTAAGCGTTTTTTGCACACATTAGGTGGCGCTTCTAGGGACTAAAGCCTTGTCAATACTACCACTATCATTTTAATTATCGTTAAATGTACAAGAATCATTAAGAAATAATATTTTTGCAGTGTGGTGTTCATTAGGCTCAGACAAAAATCTATATCAAAAACTTACTGTCTTAACTTGAGCATATACTCCATATCTTCAACTTTGTTCCCGAGTTCTACCTTCTTCCTAATCGCCCGTTTCGCATGTTTATCATTCGGATATATGTATTTGTTGTACATGTCCATTATGTACACTTCTGGTACGCCTAGGAAGTCTCGTTCGTATCCATTTCCCTAGAAATATCATCATGTTTTAAGTATTACATTTTTTATTAAGTCAACTGCATGTTTGATTTAATCTCATGCAGTACGTAACATAATTTCGATCGCCAAATATAACAACGATAACAGAAATAAAAAAAATTGATGCGGCTCTTTAAAAAAAAAGTTTTCACACGCTATAATTGTCTCCTGTATCGCGGGTGCGTTTACAAATTTCACATACACCTCACACCTAGACCCATAAAACAATTTGTGGATCACACAAAGAGATGTTGGTTATACTGATTTCCATTGGCAGAGTTGATTGCTTACCACTATACCACCATACCATCAGAAGCTCCACAGGCTTGTTTGCACATATCACAGGAAAAAATTGAATTATTACCTGATGAGCATCCAAATCCACAATCATAGCATTCTGTATCAATTGGTGCAGGACTAGGAAACGGATGAGCAGAGTGATATCTGCGTAGGGACAGAATCCACCACCCTTGTCACCACTGCAATGGTGGAAGCCACCACCAACATTGATGGCCCAGCCTCGCTCCAGGGCCAACTTACCAGCTAACACTGACCCACCAGTTTGCAGCCTGAAAGATTTGAAGACACAATATTAGTGCTTATTCCCAAACAAAAATGACCCAGCCAGGAGAGACAGATCAAATTTTAATTTTTAGGCAGTCTGACCCCTCTAACCTTACTCAGGGTGGGATGCAGTCATAGGAGCACTATCCCCTCTCAAAGTCTACAATTAAAAACTGTTGTCATTGTTAAAATGTTTCATACCTCATAGGCTTCAAGTATGCATACTGCACCAGCATATTTGGAACCAGTGCAATCACTGGAACTTCTGCTATCACAGCTACTTTTGGACTCCACTGCAAATAGATAAAATTGCTTCAGATTTTAAACTTTTTATATTTATATGCACTTTACTATATATTACTATATATACTAATATATATAAAATTAAATGTAATATTATATATATACTTACATACTGTAAGTAGCTACACCCTGACAGAATCCTAACAAAAGCAAAGTCAGTCAGAGAAAGCAGTATTTTCGTTCAATTAAAATGATTTATTTTTAGTTGACATACTATTGGACTTAATGACAGAAATGTTTCAATGATGATAAATATTCCTTAGTACTTACTTTTAGTGACTTGAGATATCTCTTTGAATGAACTATTTGTAAATCACTCTTCTGAGCTTCAAGTGGTTTCACTAAGTGTTTGTCTGTTATCAGTTCTGCTTCTTTCAAATACTGAAAAAATTAAAAACAAATTATTCCTATAATAATTTATATTTTTTTGTCATCATATCATCTTCAACAAGTACTCTGCTGAATGTACAAAGAAAAATTTTGATGCCACACATTTTTCACAAATTATGTGGATTAGCATCAAACAAACAAAAATAAATCTAAAAGAATAGTAGTAAGGATAAAATTATCTAAGCACAAGGAAGAAATACTCAATATAATAAATACTTAGGGCTTATTCAACAACGTGGATAAGCAATATGTAATAGTCAAAATTGAATATTTATTTTCATTTGTGTGACAAATGTGAACCTATACATATTATAATGTGTGAAACAAGCCTTTTGTCTATATTTTCTAAGACATCATTCTAAACTATGAACAAGTATTAAATCACCACACATTCAATATAGGAATTATGCTAATCTTGTACATAATATCTACAAAGCGGCGAATGGAACAGATAATAATACCTGGATAATGTTGCGCCATTTCTTAGCATCGAATACATGAAACCTCTCTAAACCCAAAAACGATACATTATAGTTATCGTCATAAATCAGAGGCCATTGGTCCTCTCTTATATCAAAATATAAGCAGGAATCACTGGAATAATCAAATAAAAGTCGATATTTACTTATCTTCTTACACCATTTATCTAACTACAGTAAAGGTCACAATGCAATAATCTGATTAATAAAAATACATCACTAAAAATCTAAAGATACAAACCTTGACATGTTTAACAGATATTTAATTTATTTCAAGTCGAAAACGGTACAATTTACATTTTTTGTTAACTAAAACACAATTTCGCAAAACGCAATTTCGATTTTCGCGGATGTCAATTTCACAATGACAACAAGCCTGTCAAATGACGTTTCGTTTAGAAACTAGTTCTACCCGTAGACAGAGTCTACCTTTGATAAGGAAATTAAAGCAGGTTGTTTCAATTCTGTATTTACAGTGGCTCTGCATTTAACAGTGTAATTAAGAAGTTTTTGTTAACTTGATTTTTATAATAAGAGCTTAGAACATTATCAAACTATAAGGGGCATTTATTTTGTTTTCGAACGTTCCGACTCCTACTGCTTAGCAACGAATGATGACGTTTCCGGAGCGCGAAATGTAAACAAAACGTGGACGATAACGAGATAAAGGAGATTTATTAAGTTTTTATATAATTTATAATATTGTTATAAGCATGGGGAAGTGACATATATAGAGTTGCAAGAGTTGCTATACTACTAATGACCGAAAATTATTTTGATATGGACAATCCTACCCTGGAAGCACTTCAATGTGAAGTGGACTTTTTTCGGGTAACTAGGCTTATATATTGCATTGAATATAATATGTTGTATGAAGAAGTCATTAAATTCTTATCAGATCTTATAGTGACACGCCACATAATTCAATATTCTTTACATATTTAAAAGTAACTAGTAAGTCAACTTAGCCTACAAACATAATAAGCATTAAATAATTTTAATTCACAGCAAAATCAAACCATAGTAGAAGAAGAAATAAGGACTTTAATCGCAGACAATCAAAAACTGTCTCAACAAGTGGGAATGCTGTTGAAAGAGAAATTGGACAACGCTAGAGCCAATAGTCATAATTTAGACCACACCAAAGAGTTGGAGGAACTGAGAAAACAAGTCTCTTTGCTAGCTAAGGTATATTATTTTGCATCTAAATGGAAGATACACAAATCACAATCTTAATAGCAGATATTTTCCAAAGAGTCGTAAAAAATTATGTCCATTTTTGTCAAGTTCAGTGGCGGATATATCGCCCTCGCTGACTTTTTATGGATATATATCACCTGTTGGTGAGCCTTGGTGAGCAATCAGCGTCAAACGGGCTTCGCAATTGCGCTGCCGGCCTTTGAGAATAGAGATTTGAAGATCGGATACGGGGAGGGAGAAAAGCTATCATTATCAAGACTCCAGTAACACGTCGTTTGTTGTTGTGGGATTATGACCTACGATCAGCGCCCTTTTATGCAATTTGAGTTAAGAAACTTAAATACATATTTTTTTTACCTATTTCAGGAACGGGACTCGCTTCACGTGCTATGGCAAACTTCACAGAAGACTATAGATGCACTGGAAACTGAATTAAAGACTTATCAGAGTTATGATAATGGAGTGAAAAAGGTATTTTTTCAGACCCCTACAAAGCCTATAAAGTATTAAAATTAGGTACCAATGAAAAAAAAATATTGAAAATTACCTCCTTTTTGCACAGTCACCCATCTCATTTTTACACCTTTTATATAGTAAACTAATTGTTTATCAGCAAGGTCTTACTTTCTTTATATACCTACATATACAAAATACATAGTTGTAATTTAAAAAATAAACACCAATTTTACCCACACAGCCCACAAAAGAAGAAAGAAGAGATTTCGAACTGAAACTCGAAACAGCGTTAACAGATTACATCGACCTCGAAAACAAACACAAAGACTTACAAACGAAACACGCTATACTTGAGAACGACTTGAAATGCCGAGAGAAAGAGATTGCAACTTATAAAGAGCGAGGCAAAGAATTAGAAGAGAAGCTCAGTGACGTTACAAAGAGTTTAGAAGAATATAAGATTAATTTTGCCGTGGAGAAGAAGAATAGAGAGGATCTGAAGGAACAGCTGGCATCATGTCAGAAGGAATGTGCTGAAAAATCTAAGAGGGAAGTGGAAGCTAAATCTAAGGTAAGTTTCAAGATTTTCTTTTGCACAAGCTCTTTTTTGTGAAGGAAAATTATTCAATCGACTTCACTTGCATATCCATGCAGGGTCGGGTGAGAGGGAATGTCAGACTCCTACTGGCTAAAAAAGCTAATGCCGCCGTACTTTATTGCGCTTGCCCCGCAAACGAAAGCTCTGGTTTTCTGTTGAGTCATTTATAAACCTCCGGTCTATTCTATCGACACCAGCACGTTTAGGTACACCTTCTTCTAGGAAGGGGGTAGGTACGCCACAAACCCCGATCTTCAGATCTTTGTTTCTCAACTCTAACAGCCTTTTTAGATTAATAATATACCGTCCATTGTGAGAACATCCCCCGCACATACCACAAGGATCATAATGCTCTCAGATGTAAGAGACTACATAATTGGTTTAAGTCTTTAAATTTATAAATGTTCTTCTTCTTTCTTCTTAGGTAGCAGAAGCATTACAACTGTACGACGAAGTGTCAAAACAGAAGAATGAGGCTTACAAAACTGTACAGGAATTGTCAAGTAAGTTGGGGTTACTTCATGTAGCAAAAACCCCGGGTTGTTTGCTTCACGAGTTAATTCTACAAAAAAAGAACATAACTTCTACCAGACTGCAACTGGCATTTTTCGTTACATTGGTACCTATTTGTTATTAGTCTCAAATGCCAGAGTCATTGTTCTAATCAAGACTTGCCAGAATGAAAAACTAAGGATCTTGAAGCAGAACCCCTCATGCTAGCTGATGACCCATCTAACAAACCTATGTTTTGCAGGAGAAATATCACAACTAAAACACACATTATCGAACATAAGACTGGAGATAGAAACATCGTGTAGGAAAGAAATGGACGAAGTTAAGGAGAAGTACAATGAGAAAGTATCTGACATGCTGCAACATATACGCAACTTGGACGCTGAACTCGTGGAGAAAGGATTGCTACTGAATAAAACGCTAAGGTAGTATGAAAGGTTTTCTCGCACTCTAAAAAGCCGGCAACGCACCTGTGACTCCTCTGGTGCTGCAGGCGTCCATGGGCGGCGCTGATTACTTACCATCAGGTCATCTGTCTGCTCGTTAGCCTCTTCTTACGAAAAAGAAGTTTAATACCTATTTACATAGGACACCAGATCATCACATACGGCCGCAGACGCCGAAAGATGGTCTTTTTCTCTTCTTTTTTTTAAAAAAAACTTGTTGTTTGTAGGTAGTAGTCTCTTATCATTGTACTTAGCTAATAGCTCTTATAAAATAGACTATTTTCAGAGAAAACAAAATACTGTTGGCTTCCAACGAGAGCTACTTGAAACAGCAGAAGGATTCGCTTAAATCTGTAGATCCAAAACTTGCGCTAGCTGAACAAAAAGTGGAAGCCATGTTCCAAGAATTGGTAAGTTACTTTTTACTGATTTTTTTTTAAGTTCGGGAAAAAATCCTTTCATTTCTTAAATGAAGTAATAAATTGGACTAGGTACTTAGTTGTCATCCCCATTATATTTTGTACCTTTTCCATCCGTTGAAGTTTATACTTATTGAGATATTTTTTTCTGAAGACCGTTTACACTTCGCCAGGTAGCATCTGAGAGACGTAACATGCAACTAGCGTGTGAGAAGCAATGTCTCGCAATGGATATGCAAAGGACGCAAGATGTCCACGCGAGGGAAATCAAGCGACGCGACTGGGAAGAACAACTTTTAAGGACACAATGTGATGAACTCAAGTAAGATGTAACTCAAGTCTTTAGAGGCTTGGGTTGCTGGGCAAGCGCAATGAGGCACCGCGACCACGGCCTAAAGTAGGACAAGGAAGGGGGGGTTTTTAGCCAGTAAGAGTCTGACACCCTCTCTCACCTTACGACGGGAGAAGACATTTGATGACTTTCCCTTACACAAAAAAATATGACTCAAACCATTTGTTGGATATAAGATTGTACAGTTTGTTGGATATAAATAAAAATATCGTAGCTACTTTTACAATCACCAGTTGGAAACCTCCAACATTGAATCCAGCCACCAGGGAAGGTGTTTCCTTAGTGCACGGCAAACGACAAATCGCGTGACTCTCTGCGAAGTTGAAGATGCCTTCGATACTCTTAATAGGAGTCCTGATCACAATACATTATACCTTTATACTAGTTTACTTATATGTACTAATAAAGTATTCTCAGACTCTGGATACTCCCGCTCCAGAACCTCCCAGCGACACTGATGATATCTTCGGTTCTCATAATGGGAGGCCTGCCTATGAATTATACATGATATTTAATAAAGCGAGAGGCAGTGTCAGACTCTTACTGCCCTAACACATCCCCGTTTCTTCTCCCGCTCTAGGCCCATTTTCACTAAGAGTCTGACACTCCCACTCTCCTTATCCAGGTAGGGCAGTCATTGGATTGGAAGATTATCTACCCTCAAAAAGAGTCTTCCGAGGTTAAGGAGAATAATATAGAAGGCGAAATTGCCGAAAAACCTATAAGCTAGTCTTTAGTACCTATAACAATAACTAGATATACTTAGGTAGGTACATAAAATTTGAGGAGTGATTATATATGTATACACAAAAAGGTTGAATAGATGTTAGCGAATTTTTCTCCTATATATTCACCTCTCGAAATCTATTCCCCGTTTTAGCGTTACCTATTTCTTTCTGTAGGTACCTACAGCTTAATCTTCTTCCAGGTTACAAGTCGAGCATCTCCAGAAATCGCTAGAAGAAACCCACGGGATGGTGAACAAGTTACAAAGTATGCTCGCTTCCAGAACAGAACTTAATCAGAAGTGAGTACTAATATTATAAATGCGAAAGTAACTCTGTCTGTCTGTCTTTTCTTCACGCCTAAACTACTGAACTTAGGTATTTATGTATTTACAGACATAGTTTGGAACTCGAAAAAGGACATAGAATAGATTTTAAATCAAAAATCTGCAGGAAGTCGATATTCCACGCGAACAAAGTCGCGGGGAAAAGCTAGTTTATGAATGGCTGCAATAAAATATTAGCACTCTCGCTTTGTGTGTTTTGTTTTACTTATTACCTGATGGTAAACATTGGGTGCCACCCACGGAAAAATAAGTTGCAAGTGTGTTATGGCGTGCGTCGCCTTTATGGCAGTATATAAGGTTTTGGATGACGAAAGAGTAAGATTGATCCTTCGGTATCAATCTTCCTCACACGGCAAAACACAACGCTATGGTTTTTTCATACACGTTTTCTTTGAGGCCGTGGTCTCATTCCGGTCGAGCTGGCCCATTCGTGCTGAAACATGGCTCTCCCATACTTACCTTAATATATGGCTATGCTATTTAAAATAACATGTCTTCTTTCTTTCAGAATGGTGACCACAAAAGAAGAGGAGGTGGAGGAACTGAACAAACATTTAGAAAATCAAATGGAGCTGAGTAAAAAGTAATTATTTCGTTACCAATAGTGTGTCAATTGAAATTTGAAACAGTTCCCAGGGAAATCATGATTACTCTTTATTAAGCCTTATTAAAATCACCATAGTGTTTAATGTCGTGGTCTCTCGGGTTCGGAACCTGGCAATTACCTACCAATATGACTTTTGAAAGTCAGACTATAGAACCATAGAAAGTACAGAGTCATGTGTAGATACTTTCTATGGTTATTTTGACACCACAGACATACGGTGAAGGTAAGTATTGTGAAGAAACCTAGACTTATAATTTGTAATAATAAGTTTGAAATCGCCAATCCGTATTGAGCAAGCGTGGTGATTAATGCTCAAACCTTTACAGTCTGAGAAAAAGTCCTTGCTGAGCAGTGGACACTTAGAGGCTTTAGAATGATATGATGAGAGTTTAAGTATTCATATTTTTATTACAGATGGAAGGAGTCCTATTTAGAAATGACAGAAAAACTGAAAAAGAAACTAGAAGAAATGCAGAAAGAGAATAAAGAATTACGATCTAAGTTAAAGCTGCCTTATGTTGGGTCTTCAGAAGAAAGTAATAGTTGACATTTGAATACCGACACTATGTTTAGGGAATAAAGTAGAAACTTGAATAGCACCTGTTCACAGACATATTTAGATGCTAGATAGATTTCAATGTTAAATTTCTTAAAATAAAGTTTATTTTTATTTACCTCAATGTTTAAAATATCTAAGAACTGTTTGTGTCTACTATTGACCTATTGAATTAAGTAGGTTTCTTTTGGGTAAGACTAGTTTTAAAAGTACGGCCAAACTAAATATGCTTGGTGATTGAAAATCAACCTTACTACTAAGACACAAGTGCCCCATTGCATTTTTTGTGATATTCTATTACACAAAGGGTGATGAGCCGAATGCTCCAAATAAGCTACCTCTGTACAAGAAAATATTCCTAATTTAATTTTAAGAGTGTTACCACAGTGCAATATGGTTACAGATAATAAATATTTAAAATAATTTTCGTATTTTATGTCTTAATCTAAATCTACTTACCACAAAAATATTCAAAATCAAAAAGCCATTTCTGTTAGTTGTATATAATATTCTCAACATAAATTATACATGTACATTATATCACAATATAACTCTTATTACTTTACAATAATGTCTATAGTTGTAAATCACGCAGCCACACATTCGGAGAACATACTTGGGAACCAGTATAATGTTTCCTTTGTGTCTTGGGTGTCCACCCATGCTAGACCTTCTTTGACCATGTGATTCAAAGCACTCTGAGCTCTTGTTTCTGTCCAGCTGAAATATAAAAAAGCCAAAGTTTAGGACAGTTCTTGTAAGTATGAGAGAGCCAAGGTTCGGCACGAATGTGTCGGCTCGACCAGAGTTATACCACGGCCACACAAATATCGGCGTGAAACAACCACAGCGTTTTTTTGCTGTGTGAGTGAGGTTATCGACGGCCGAATTTTTGTGGAGGGTTATTCAATAAATGCTATTTTATAGAATACCTACAGGTTTGAATATTTATACAAACTAAACATAAGAATGAGTTAGTTTTGCTCTAGAGAGAGTTTATTTTGGTCTTTAAATATTCTTAGAAGTCCAGGGAAGGTTTACACGGGGACAAAAAGTAGAAAAAATACAAGTAAAATACTATCAATAACAATTCCATTTATCATAAACTGCTCTATGTGACATTATTAAACTTTTTGAAGTGGTACTGAGTATATAAGCTGCATTTCGGATTAGCTAGTGCAAAGTATTTTTTTCCGAAACTGCCAATGTTGTTTACTGTGTGTACATTAATTTCCTAATGTACTTTTATGAATTCCTGACTTTCATGATGGAAACAAGATTATTTCCATAAGAATAAAATAATAGTAAGTAGCTAAAATCTTACCCAAGGTCATCAATAAGTATACTTAGGGACACCCATGCAGTGCCCAGACCACTTGCTTTCTGCAGAACTAATGTATGATCCAAATTCAGCTCGCCCGGCACTGACTGAACCAACCACTTCCCTTTACCCATTGGTACTACTGTGAAACTGAAAAAAAAAACATTAAAAGCAACATAAACTTTTGATTTTGTATAATCTTATATAAGATTGCAAAGTAATTTCAATAAACTTGAAAAAACAATATTAAAATCTTTTTTATCAATCAAAGATTTTTATAAGATAAAAAAACATCACTTCTAAACCAAACACATAAACTGACCAATACCAAGATTATATCCATAAACAAATCATAAAATACATAATTATTTTAAAAAGACAGTGGGAAATTTTATATTTATGTTGCACACAGATGATGTTGCAGTTTGTCAAGCAAATACCTAGTACTCTAACAAGAGATCAGTTTATTTCTCACCCATTGCCAAATATCCTGAGTTTTTTGACTGCAACAAGCAAATCCTCATTAGTAATTTCCTGGTGTATCTTTGCCTTGCCCCTGGCCGCAATTAGCCTTGTCCGCAGCTCCTCTAAGGTTATAAGCCCGCCATTCTTGTAATTTGTTGCTAAACATACTTCCACTATTTGCACTCCTATTTCATAATAAAAATCACCAATACCTGAAATTTAGAACCATGGTTTGTTAGTTAATCTATTTAGAATCTGATTGCAATTAGAATAAGGTTAATTTTTTTTGTTCTTCCCCATTTTGGCAAAATTGGCTATTGGCTCAAGATATAAAGCATGACTTCTGGTTAAATATGAGTAAAATAGGTATGTATAATCTCAACTAATGAAATTTCTAATTTGGAATTAGGTTCTTGGGCTAAACAACTAAAGTAGTCTTTTCACAGTTTAGTAAATTAAAGTTGGCAGTATGAAGAAAGGATAAACGCAGTCGCAGCTGCGGGCAATAGCTATAGACAGAAGCAATCTTTAAAATAACTTGTAAAGTCATCAACACCAACCTAACACAGACCAAAATCCCTTTCCCGATGCCAAGGGGTCTACACCGATCGCCGCACACATCTCTTGAAACTGCCTTCTGAACTGAGCATTCTTCTTTATCTCATTCTTGTGTTTAGTCGCAAATTCTTCCAAGTTCTCTCTAAAAACTTCTAACTGTTTGGACATCTGTTGAAACTGGTTTTCTTGTATTTCCGATCCTTTTTCCCTATATTTCTCCTGTTGCAACCTTTGTTTCTGTATGGCACCTACTCCTGCATGACGCCTCATGATTGTTGTATTATTTCTATTACGTTGTATACTAAAATCCCAACTGATTATTGAATAAAATAACAAATTAATCCTCTATTCTTCACAATGATGTCAACATTCGTCGATTAGCTGTCAATAGTGTCAATTCTTAACATTGACATATTCTCTTGACCCGCGTTCCTGCACATTCAAGCCTAAAAATAAATATTATAACAAGAAAAGATTGTATTTCGTTTTAAATTTTACTTATTTAATTAATTCACATAGGTAATAAAAGGACCTCTCATACCTGCAATTTAATATTTTATTTTAAATACTCTCTAAAGGAAAAATAGCAACTTGTTAGCAACAAAAAGTGTTAGATGGCGCTTTTATTAATTTCTCGATTTCCTATTTGGGTAATCTAAAAGAACCAAGGAAATATACAAATTCAATGAAAACGTATATCTACCGTGCCTAGCTCTCTTTTTATGTATGAGTAATGAATAACCGATTTGAGGATTTATGTTAAAAATGCAAGGTATACTCCAGCATATCAATGAAACCTGAGATATTAGCCGACAATCCCAACTGGAAGCCAGTTGTCTAGTTTATGAAGTGAATAATATTTTTATCCCGTCTCTCAAAGCAATGAAACGATCCTATTGACAATCCTGATGGCCTCAAATCCACTAATGAATCTATATTAATAATTAGTTACCACTAGTATGAGATACACTTATAATATATTCATGACTTTTTACAATGTGCATGTATGTATGTTCACTTTGTTACTCATGACTTTCACAAAAAATCGTTTATTTTCACATTTCCTTCTATAACAGTAAGTACCCAAAAATGTTGAACATTTCAAAATGACTGATATAACTAAACATAAATCATAGTTTTTAGAATCATAAGTAAATAATAGTTTAGCTCAATAATTTTAGCAAATCTTTTTAAACTCAGCTGCAAAAAGAAAAGATTGCATCCCTGGTGGGGATCGAACCCACGACCTTTGGATTAGAAGTCCAACGCGCTATCCTCTGCGCCACAGGGACTGTTGAATGACACTCTAAAATATCTATATGCTATCTACTACATGAACATATACAATTTTATAAATTTATTACTTAGTTATATAAAGTGTAAAACTTTACTATGCATTTTTAATACATGTATGTATTTGAAATATGTTGAAAACTAGTTCTTAAATATTTTTAACAAAAAGAGTATGGTTATTTTTGTCGTTAGTCCGTTGTCAATATTTCAACCGGAAATGTCAACAAACAGAAGAAATGTCAAAAATCTATGTTTGGGAAGTTTGAAATTTCCAGTAATTTACTATTAAATTATTTCTCATAAATTTATAATGTAACCACAACTCCTGTTATAGATAACTATAAAACAGTTAAAACAATAAAATGGAAAGTGGAACCACGAAAGCATTTACGCCGGCCGTTGAAGAAACGCAGAATGTCGCGAACGCTGATTCTGCCGACTCCTTTCAGTCATTTATTTACGAATTGTTTGAAAAGAATGGTATACTTAATGACCTACGGGCATACTTACGTGGCCACATTGTAAATGTTCTCAAAAGTGCACAAACTGGTGAGGAATTCTTGTAAAAACAATTCTTATTTTTCTGTTTTCCAATACCGGCGTCCCGTCATTACAGGGTTTGAAAACACACCATTCCAAGCACTATCCAGAGTTTGTCTCTTTCCCTCCTGAAGAATTTACTATCTTCTGGCCTTGTTTTGTAAAAAAACAATGTACATAAACTTAAATGACGTTTTTTTTTGTTGTTGTGTTTGTAAATTTGCTAAACTTATTTTGACTATGAAAATTTAACATAATGCTAGGTACGAGTATTAAGTTAAAAGTATTTCCTAATTTAAACAAGCTATTTTAACACCAATTTGAATTCGTTTATAGCTGATAATAATTAAATAAATTGAATTAACTACTGATGATTTGATCAGTACCTATACAAATAAATTAAAATCCCCTTTTGTATTATAGGGGACCCACACCCATGTCAGAAACATTTTGCCCAACGTTTGGAGCTAACTCACCAAGCAGTGAACATCCTAATAGCTGAATATCTGATGCGATTTGTAAGTAGACTCCATAATAAAATAAGAATGCTCATTTTCCTTCTACTTATCTCTATAACTACAGATTTAAAATACTATCTATTAATCTACACTCCAAAAGAAATGCCAAAAGAATGAAAGATTTCTTTGACATTAAGGACCTACGGCTCAATACAAGAAATGTACTAAACACAAACTTTTCCACTTCACAATGATTTGGCTAATAACGTAAATAAAATTGTGTAGACAAAAATATGTACCCTAAAACTGGCTATAATTCTTATTCGAAAAAGCTATGTAATCTTATCATTCTCTATGAAAATATTTTTAGAAATGTATGATTTAAAATTTACTTAATTTTTACCATGCTTCTATGCTGACATTATTGTTCATATTTAAGAGAAGTATTCATATATGTATAGCAATTAGCATGTATTTATTATATAGCAATTGGTATCTGTTGTTTAAATTATGTCAACTAATATAAACACAGAATTTTACTTGTTATTTTAATCTTTTATTCGGACTTATACTAAGTATAAGGCAGTCAAGTGATTTTATCAAGAATACTACTTATTTATTGATGAACTTATTATTTTTCCAGGAATTTAGCTACAGTTTTTCCGTATTTATATCAGAAATACCATTGGCTAATATGGTATTTGGTTTTGCCAAGTCTATGATGGAGCGGAGTCATGAAAATAAAATGGATTTGAGATTCAAGGAGTCTGATATCTGGTCTATACTAAACTACTTAGGTAAGACACTTTAAAAAATGTATTAATACGCACACACATCATAATATGTATAAACAAGAGTCCCATTGTAACTTGAAACTAGTAGAGCTTTTAAGTGTGGGAGAGCCAAGCTTCGGCACGAATGGTTCGGCTCGACCGGAGTGATACCACGGCCTCACAGAATACCGACGTGAAACAACCACAGTATTGTGTTTCGCCATGTGAGTGAGGTTACCGGTGGCCCAAATGCTTCCTCTCCCCCGATCCCTCCCAATCAGTCCTGGATTTATAAATAGGCCGCATAGGCCGCGGCCTAGGGGCGGCAGCATCCTAGGGGCGGCAGATTTCAGAGCACGGTCACTCGATTTAAGAGGATAAAAGTCAAACACGTCCACTGATTTTATCAAGGTAAAATAAGTACTTTAAATAAATCCCTTTAGAAACTCATTCTTATCGAAACCTATATTATCATAGTGATGAGTGATAGATGAGAGCAGCGCAGCGGGTGAAGGCGAACGGCGCGGCCGATAGTGTCTCAACGTAACAACCCGCTTCACCCGCTTCCCTTCCACGCTCGCCGAGCCGTTTGCGCGGCGCGCGCCCGATGCTCAACGCCCGCGCCAGTGTTCCGCGAAAGCGTCGATCGCAATATCCAATCTTCCTTAACTACCCAACTCAACGAAGAAATTTCTTACTGGAGGAACATTTTAAAGAGGGTTGTTGCTGTTATAAAAGTATAAGCTTCTAGAGGTCTCGCTTTTAGAGGAAGTAATGAAAAATTTGGTGACCAGCACAGTGGAAATTACATTACATTACCTATGCTTCTAGAATTAATAGCAGAGTTTGACCCATTACTAACCAAACACATTGAAAGATATGCAAACCAGGGATCTGGAACAACTAGCTACCTTTCGAAAACTGGCTGAAAAAGTACTAAAATACATCAGTGATGAGATAAAAAAAGCAAAGTATTTTTCTCTGATCGTGGATTCTACACCAGATAGCACATTTAGATCAGCTAACACTTGTGATTCGGTATGTTTTAGATAATGGAGAACCATGTGAGAGATTTATTAAATTCTTGCCTTCTGTGGGACACAAGGCTCAAGATATGTTTAATGCCATTACTATAGAGCTAGAAAAGTTAAACATTAACCTCGATGATTGTCGCGGTCAGTCTTATGATAATGTCTCTAACATGTCAGGGATTTACAATGGGTTACAAGCCAAAATTCAAGAACAAGCACAATTTGCTATGTTTGTCCCTTGTGCAGCTCATTCATTAAATTTGGTAGGAGCCTCGGCCGCTGAGTCTTGTACAGAGGCCTGCCACTTTTTTATGTTGCTAGAGGAGGTTTATACTTTCTTCGTGAAGTCAACTGAACGTTGGAAAAAATTAACGAATGAGATAGGATGAGGAATAACACTTAAGAGAGTGAACCTCACTCGTTGGTCGTCTAGAACAGATGCCTGTAAAAGTCTAAAACATTCCTGGGTTGAAGTAATTACAGTTTTAAAAATGATTGAAAATGACAGTACAGAGAAACCGGTCCCGCGAAATGAGGCAAAGGGAATTCGCATCAAATTAGAAAAACTTGAAACTGCGTTCATGGTCTTATTTTGGAAAGGTTAAATAAAGTGAGCATTCAGATTCAGAGCTCATCTGTAGATTTATTGACGGTATCTGATCTCTATGGATCTCTAGTACCTAGAGTTTATAATAGCAGAACTAGAAAACTTTGACTATTTCGAAGAAAAAGCAATGGAGATGAGCACACTTAAGGAATACCAAGGTAAAATAAAAAGACAACCTAAAAGAAAAAAGATGACGAATGAAACAATGAATGAAGAACCTGAAATACCCACCAGCTCTATACATATAGAGATTATTTCAGAGTGAATACCTTTTTGGTCATCCTTGATAAACTGAAAGCTGAAATACAGAGAAGGCACAATGCTTACTTAAACTTTAAAGACAAATTTCATTTTTAACAAAAATTACTGAACCCTCAACACAAACAGTTACAGAAAAAGCCCAGTCTCTCGTAAAATATTATAACAATGATTTAGAGGACGATTTGATTCAAGAATGTGTGCATTTTCAAAGTCACATTTCCTCTGATAAAACTGCAGGGAGTGCAGTGAAGCCCGAATCAAACTCACTACTCAGTCTCTCAACTTTTTTGAGGAATCAAAGTCTGTCTAACGTATACTCTAACTTGGATATAGCTCTTCGCATTGCACTTTCCACTCCTGCTACAAATTGTTCTGGGGAAAGGAGTTTTTCCTGTTTAAAACGCGTAAAGAATTACCAAAAGTCTTCATTGTCTCAAGAAAAAATTTATTCTCTAGCTCTTCTCTACATAGAAGCCGAGATAATGAATACCATAAACTATGATGATATTATTAATGATTTTGCTATTAAAAAGGCCCGTAAAAAATGTATATCTTGATTTTTATTTCATTACGCTCCTTCTTAATGACAAATTCTAATTTTATTTAACTGTAAGGCCTTAAAACTAAAAATCGAAAATTATTATTTTAGAAAGGTACGTAAGTACATGGGGCGGCGGAAATAAAGTAGCCTACACTCATAAAAAACATAAATCCGGCACTGCTCCCAATCCCTTAATCTCCAAAATCTAATCCCTAAAAGGTCGGCAACGCACTCGTAACTTCTCCGTTGCGGGTGTCCATGGGCGGCGCGTTATATAGTTCACGTTATTTCCAATAAATCTTTTTTTACGAGGGAAAAATCATCAAATGTTCTCTCTCCCAGGGTTGGGTGGGAGTGAATGTCAGACTCATACTGACTAATCCCCCCCTTCCTTCCTTCCCCTGCTCTGGGGTCCGAGGTCGCGGTGCCCAAATTTTCAATAACTTATTTATTTTTATTATATATTTAATAACTTATTTTTTATTACTTAATATTGTTTTGATTATTTTTAAAAAGTATTGGTTAATTTTTTCATAAACTTCTTTACTTACAAACATACAAACTTATAAATTTTACCTCTTTATAATATTAGTACCTATAGACATACAAAAATACAAACAAACCTCAATTTTCACCCTTCTACAATCAACCCTTATTTTTTAATATCCAAAAACGGCTCAGCTAGTACAACACATAAATCTCCCTATCCTCAAATATGCAAGGAACACGTGTAACTCTTCTGGTATCTGAAGTTTCGATTGCTTAACATCAGGCGATCAATCTGCTCTGCTGCAGAATAAACTTACTAACTTTCTGATAAAATTATACTCACAGAAAAAATTGCAACTTCAAAAATGTATTATGTATGTAAATACATAAAAAAAATACGCGTCGAATTGAGAACCTCCTCCTTTTTTGAAGTCGGTTGAAAATGAATGGTCCTACCGTAATTTTTCCAGGTGTACAATGTGACTCTGAACACGCGACGAATGTTGTGGAAATGTACAAGCGTGATAAACATATCCCTTTACTGCTCTGCATACTGAAGTGTATGCCACTGTACAAGGACAACGTTGGAGTGCCTCAAGGTAAAGCAATAGAATAACTAAATTATAATATTTTAGGTAATATTAATTTTTTTTTGTTTTATGTGATAAGACGGCAAAGGAGCTGACGGATTACCTGATGGTAAGCAATCGGCGTCGCCCATGGTCGTGCGTTGCCAGCCTCTTAGGGATAAGGGTTTCGGATATTTAAGGATTGGCGGCAAAAAGTCGTGGTGGCCCGGAGGTTAAGGCGCCCGCTTCTCATGCATGAGGGTGCGGGTTCGAAACCTGGCAAGTACCAATGTGACTTTTTCCGAATTATATGTACTTTCTATGATTATTTAGACACCACTGACATACGGTGAAGGTAAACATCGTGAGGAAACCTGGACTTATAATTTCTAATTATATGTTTGAAATCACCAACCCGCATTGAGCAAGCGTGGTGATTAATGCTCTAACCTTCTCCGTGTGAGAAGAGGCCTTTGCTCAGCAGTGGGCACTTATAGGCTGATGATGATGATGATGAAGGATTGGCAAAAGATAGGGAAAGGGGTAGGTGTGGTTGATTCACGCCGGTTCATTTGTATCTATTATTTAATGCTGATACTACTATTTACTAACAGTTTCATCAGAAGACTCCATATCAAGTATAAGGTCGGAATACAGTATTGAGAAACGAGCTCACAGTAAAACAACGCCATCTTCTGAAAGATGCCACCATTATACCTTCTGTAAGACTTGTCAGAACAAAATGTATCGGCTCAAAGAGACTTATAAGAGAAAAAAGAAATACTTTTCTAAGGTAAGTAACTTCTAGAACCTTCTATTTCGCTGGAATAACCAATTTTAACCCTTACGTACATGTGTTTAACATCTTTTTTACAGTTTTGGGTAATGAATATTAACTAGGTAGGTAAAGGACATGGCCAAAAAAGTACATTCCACGTACACGAACAAAATTAATACACTGTAAAATACAAATAGAAATATGAATTATTACGTAGTTTTTAGCCTCTCCAGACCTGACAATTATTATTAAAAAAATGTAAAAGTAATGCAACAAAATCAACTTCGTTTGTCAAGCTTCGCCATAACAGTCCATAGAGAAAGATAAATAAAAAGACGTTCCAATTCAAAACCACGTGTCTTAAACTACACTCGTAGAAAACGTGTGATATGATCGACAAATGCATTACACTAGGAACATTTTATTCATACGAAACTGTATTCATTGGTTTTAGTTGCATTTTAAAATATACTCATATTATGATAATGTTATGTTTTATTTTTATCCAATTCACAAAAAAAAAACTTAAACGAAACGGAACGTGTTTGGCACTTTTGACAGCGTGTTTTTGTTAACCTTGCTAATAATACTGGAGTAACTGTTTTGCGTTTTGGATTTGTTTTGTGGATTACGATGAGGTGCATCAGCTGCGGAATAGGCGTACAAAGGCTGCAGAGGCGTCTTATATCCTCGCTTTCTGCACACCATCAAACAAAACTTTCACGTTGGTTAACCAGCTCAAACCCAGGTATGAAGTCGGAATATATATTACTTAGTCTGTTTTTTTATGTTTTATCATGGTATGCGATTTTAAATAGTGCATCTTTTTTTTAGTTGCCTCTGGGGACATTCATTTGTCAACCATGCTTCTTATTATTGAATACTGAGGCTGGTGAACATGAGAGACTACTGGGGCATAACATGGCTTGCCTTGGTTGTGGAAAATCGGTTCGAAAAATAAGACACCATAATGTCAGTATGGACTCTCCATTGCTAGCTGGCCTAATATCACAAAATACTATTAATGTGGTAAGCATTTTGTTTTTTATTCATTGTTTTATATATGTAATTGTATTTATCTATATTAATCTATAAAAAAAGTTCTCATAGTATGTATGTGTGATTATAATATCTATCTTTATGTATTTTCCAAGTTTGAATAGACTTCTTTAAAGTAGGCATGTCGTAACATAATACTTCTCATTGTACAATAACATTTAACTGGAAACATGTGTTTAGTCTAAGTGGGGTTTATTTTCAGACCTCAAAAAACAACTATGTTTGTCATGTATTGTGTGCTGGATGCGGGCAAATACACAGGCAGTTCAGGACTTATCACGAAACTTGCAGGAATTGGGTTCGGACAACATGCAGGAATTGGATTCTGACAACAATGCAGCAGCCCCTTATATGCAAGTGGTTAGCCCACCAGAGCCACCACCATTACCACCTGTTTTAAGCAGGCCGCTTCAAGAGAAAGTACTACCATATTATTACCCAATTATACAGAATATATATTACAGAAACATACATTCTATATACACACAGACAAACAGTTTTTAAAGTTTTTAAATACAAAAGGTTTTAAGTGTGGGAGAGCCATGCTTCGGCACGAATGGGTCGGCTCGACGGGTGTGATACCACGGCCTCACACAAAACCGGCGTGAAACAACCACAGCGTTGTGTTTCGCCGTGTGAGTGAGGTTACCGGAGGCCCAATCATTCCCCTCCCCCAATCCCTCCTCAATCCCTAAATCTCCAAATCCCTAATCCCTAAAAGGTCGGCAACGCACTCGTAACTTCTCCGTTGCGAGTGTCCATGGGCGGCGCTGATTGCTTACCATCAGGCAATCCGTCTGCTCGTTTGCCGACCTATTGCATAAAAAAAAGTGTTTATTGTAATTATTTTCATCTAGTGTGTTGTTATGACAAATTCTTCATGTGTTTTATATTGCAATTTAATTAAACAATATCCACGAATGTAAAACGCCAAAAATCATTGATTGATTGAACCTTGAATTCAATAATAATGCCCATACAGAAACATACATTCCATATACACAAACATAATAAAACACACTATATAATAAAAATATAAAAGTGAATTATGACGTAGTATTATTTTATTTAAATAAATCATTATTATTTATACCTATTCTTTTGTTTTATTTTATAAATAAATAAATAATTGAAACGCTTTATGGTTTTTAAAAGCGATATCTTATTTTCGTGCACTTATGGCCAGTAATATGACTAAAGGTTTAGTGATACTATTTTCGTCTTGTGTGTTATAATGACGAGTTTTTCATGTGTTTTATTTATTGCAATTTAATTTAATAATATTCACGAATGTAAACACCAAAAATCATAGATGTACATTGAATTCAATAACTATGCAAACGCCCATACAAAAGTTGGCCATGTCCTTTTAAAAAATGGCAAACCCCTTTTGCTGGCTTATTGTCCAGTGGGGAACTGTCACCGGCTTGATGATCTACATTAATACTGTAAAGAGGAAATATTTGATAATCTCTTTGTTAGCATTGAATAGGCTCCACTTGACAACAATTGACCGATTTGAAATTCCTGGTGACGCTTCACAACATAGTATAAAACAAAGTCGCTTTCTCTATCCCTTTAAAACTATATATAAAAAATTTGATCCGGTTTTTTAGTACATAGTGGTTGAAGAGGAAGGTTTACAGTAGAGCGATTTAGTATTGCACTCGTGTGAAGCGAGGGCAGGTCGCTTGTTGGTTATAAACAAAGCGGATGAAACAGCGCGTTACAACTAGTAGGTAATTAATAAGCGATTTTTTATCAAGACTTTATTATTGTTTTCTTTCAGACTTGTAAGGACAGTTCGAATGTTCATCCCGCGAATCTGGAGAATCTTATTAATAATATCAACGTCGTGGAGAAAAGCCTCATTGAAGAGGTTTTGATCCTTGCTTTATTAATATTTAATGTTATACACACGTAGCTTTTCGACGAGATAGTTTTTTTTTGCTCAGTATGAGCCCCGGACGTAGCTTGTAACTAATCGAGCCACCTCGTCGAACAGTTATTGGAATCAGCTTCATTTCATTTCAGAGTTTAACATACCTACATAATTAAGTACCTATAGATAAAATGCTTGTGTAATAAATGTATAAATGTTTAATTTGAGTTCACTTGTCTATGTTTAGTGTGTAGAAATTATTTTCGTTAGATCTCATAATTTGCAATTATTCATTAACATAATAATAGTTTACCTGGATTCATTTTACCAGAATATTTTAAGTGCGTCGCTGACTTTTTTATGATTGTTAGAAATTGTAGTATTAGGGATATGGGGATTAGGAATGAGAGGGGCGTCTTTGTACAAAATAACTTTGGGAACCTCTGTACCTTCGTAATTTACGATTGTGATAAATTATCACAATCGTACCTCCACCTCCACATAAATGCGGTAAAACATTAAGTTTTTTTTTGTTTCGTATTATATGGGATTGTGTATGAACAAATGTTTTTTTATAGATGTTCCAACAACTGAAGAGCGTGTACGAGGCGGAAGTGGAAATGGTAAAGATTGAAGAAGAGAAGAAAGTGAAAAGATCAATGGCCTCCCACGCCATCAAATTGCAGAAGGAACGAGATGAGGTATGTACCTAGTGTTTTTTTATGTAGTAGGTCGGCAAACGAGCAGACCTATTACCTGATGGTAAGCAATCAGCGCCGCCCATGGACACCCACAACGGAGAAGTCACAAGTGCGTTGCCAAGGTTTTAGGGATTAGAGATTTGGAGATTTAGGCATTGAGGGAGGGGAAGGATTGGGCCTCCGGTGACCTCACTCACACGGCGAAACACAACGCTGTGGTTGTTTCACGACGGTTTTCTGTGAGGCCGTGGTATCACTCCGGTCGAGCCGACCCATTCGTGCCGAATAGTGTTGGAGATATTACAATGTATCATACATACTAATAAAGTAGTACAGTATAGCAAATGTATATACATACATGGTCAGAGAAAGCGAGTTTGTTTTATACTATGTAGTGAAGGCGGCAAACGTTGGCTACGGCAGACTGTCTGATGGTAAGCAATCGGTGTTACGTTGCCAGTCTGTTGGATGTTAGAGATTTGTCTTTGTGTATGATGTAGTGTTGCCTTAATGGTGTATTATCAGATGGAAGAAAAGTTTAAAGCTCGTGAAGCGGAGTTGGAGCGTCGCGTGACTGCGAAGAAGCAGTTCCTGTGGGGCCTGGCGCGCGCCCTGCGTAGCCAACACGCCAGCATGGCGCGCGCCATGACCGACGTCAAGACTGAGACACGCAGGCTCGAACTCAAGGTAATATCCTCATCAATATCTGCTCAATACTATCTATGTAAAACCTATGTTTACAAATGAATAAAGATTATGATTATAATAACATTTAAGTAGCACTTAAAAAAAAAGAACACCCTGAAAGTATAAACAACTAGCTACTCTCGCGCGGTTTCACCAGCTGCTCGACCCCATTTAATCGTAGCGTGATGTTTTGTAGTTTATAGCACCCGGGAACATTCTAGCTATCAATAAGTGAAGGAATTTTGGAAATCAGACCAGTGGTTCCCAGGATTAGCCCCTACATACAAACTTAAAATTTTACCTCTTTATCATATTAGTGTAGAAGTATAGATAAAATAAATAAAATATAGATTCCTAGCATGTGAAAATATAACGTCCTGGAAATTCGAGCAGTTTTTTGTAAATAAATATTTCTTCGCTCTAACACAGTTTTCCTAGGTCTGTGCTATTTGTTTGTAATATATTTAGGTACCATACCATATATCCAGTAGTATAGTATAGTGTAAAGTATCTATTATTAAAAATTAATGTAAAGGAGGTCCACATATTGTCATTGTTTACCGTCACATCGTTTATCTATTTCAGTCATAAAATTGTCTTATTCATATTCTTAACAGGAGGACAGTTTAAAATCCCAACTAGCCGAAGCAGAACAAATTTTAAAGAAACGCGGCGAAGCAATGCAGCTTCAAATATCGAAAGAACTCTCTATCTTAGAAGAACATCTAGAATCTATGAAGAAAGAGAGAGAAAACATAACGAGAGAGAGATCCGAACTAGAAAACTTGAAAACAGTACAAAATTCCCCGGGAAAATGCGTTAAAGTTCACGAAATGGAAACTGAAGAGGTCCATTCTCATTATGATTTACTCAAAAACGAATTAGCGATACTGAAAAAGTATTTAGAATCTTCTAGGCTATCTGCTAAGTGCGTCATTGAGAGAGGGACGATCACGGACCCTATACAGTCAGTTTCAAAAGTAACCGTCACACTAAACAATAGCCAGAGCAATGAGAAATGCTCCAAAAGCGACGACGTTGATGATAAAGTCAAAACCAATCAGCTCGTCAATGATTTCAGGAAGAAAAATGTCAATTTTAGTCAGGTGAGTTTCATATTGTGTTTCATGGAAATCTACAAACACCTAACCGTGCAAAAAGCTGGCAAGGCACTTGTAACTCATGTCTACCATAATTTTGTAATATTAAAAAAAAATCAAGAACTCCTAACTTACTGCTTGGGTATTCGCTTGTTAACTAAAAACTCAAACACCAAGTTTCGATTGTTAGCTAAAAAAGCATTTTTTGTGCTTTCGTTTAGTATTTAAAATTTAGTTGTTAGGTATAACACTGCTTAACCAATCTGAAGCAAATATGGATTAAGACTTAAAAGACATCCCATCACACAAGTCGTGTCGTGATTAGTCAAAATTTTGAAAAAAGACCAAACATTTTATCGATCGAGTCGAGACCTTTTGAGAAGTCGGTTACGAACCAAATTTTTATCAACGTATTAAGTACTAGTTCCACTTGCGGCTTCGCTCGATAAAAGTAGCTTATCCAGAGTATCACCTATCTACATTTCAACCCAATCAATCACACATTCCACAGGCTTATTGCCTAGCACAAGAGTCAGGACTTCACACAACTTTGTAACCTATTTCAAGTGTACTAAAGAATATTTTTATCGTGTACTGGTTTTGCGTAAAAAATGAATACCTAAGTAATCTTTTCCCCAGTCGAATTTAGACGAACTCTACCACGAAACGAGTCGAGAACGCAGTCGGTCGTCCGTATCGAGCGAAGCGGGAGATTTGGAACTAGAACGTGCAAAGGACAGAGACCTCATACAACGACTCAGAGAAGAAAATGACAGACTCAAGGCGTTTGCTAGACAGGTATTTGCAGAATATTGTGTATTTTAACTGTTAATTTTGGATTTTTTTCTATCTAATACTCTACGTTTAACAGACATCTGTCATCCATTGTTTAAACGATTGTTCGCGAATTTAACCTTAATTAGGCTTAAAAATTGTCGTATTATGTTAAATGTTAGTATCTTCTTTTTTACCTGCTTTAAGTTCCTGAAACATTCCTGCCAAGAAAGACATATTTTATTGCGTAGGTAATATTTAGAACCTGCAGATTCAGTATACACATATTATCAGAAACATTTTTTTATGAATTAAATACTAACATCAAGTGTGGGAGAGCCATATCTCGGCACAAATGGGTCGGCTCGACCGGAGTGATACCACGCCGTCACAGAAAACTGGCGTGTATCAACCACAGCTTTGCGTTTCACCGTGTTAGTGAGGTTATTGAAGGCCCAATCTATCTCTCTTTTTTTATTTAGTAGATCGGCAAATGAATAGACCCATTACCTGATCGTAAGCAATCAGCGCCGCCCATGGACACCCACAACGGAGAAGTTACGAGTGCGTTGTCTTGTCGACCTTTTAGTTATTAGGGATTTTGAGATTTAGGGATATAGGAGAGATTAGGGGAGGGGAAGGTTTGGGCCTCCGGTAGCTCCCTACCCCAATCCCCTAAATCTCCTAAACCCTAATCCCCAAAAGGTCGACAACACACTCATAGCTCCTTTGGTGTCGCGAGTATCCGTGGGCGGCACCGACTGCTTACCATTAAGTAATCCGTAGACTAGTTTCCCGTCCTATCACATTTAAAAAGTTAGTTTGATAAAAATTTTAAATTCACCTATATTTATTCTTCGTATATTACAGCAACGTACCCGCATCGAGCAGCTGTCGGGTTCCGTCCAAGTGCCCACTAGACCTCGCACTGCGCCCCCTGCCGCGGTCACGCATATTTACAAGTTAGTAAAACACTTCTAATAAATATCAGTGTATTGAGCCTTGAGGAGGTTTAAAATAAAATATAAGATTTTAATTACTTTAATTTTAATTTCATATCTTGTGGACTTCAGGTTTTAGGATTTTTGTGATTGATATTTACTGTAAGTACTGATACAGCCTTGACATTTGCTACGTAGGAAATAATAATAAATAACTGGGAATTATCAAAATCGATAGTTTTCTACGTTTGTGTGGTTTACAAGTTTTTGTCTTACGAATATAATTATATACTTATGCTATTTTATTTATTTTAACTGGCTTCCGCCCGCAGTTTTGCTCGAGTGGTACATTGATAAAAAGCAGCATTGTGTTACACAAAAATGTGTTTTGGTGTGTTATATGTTACATGTTAATCCAGGGTATCATCACCTACCTACATACCAAATCAATCCAGTTTTTGCATACACATTTACAATATTACCTAGTAGGATACATTTATTATTTTTAAATTAGGTACAAATATTGAGCAACAACTTATGTATATCGAATAATTCTTAAAAGAAAATTCTTATGTTTTATTGCATTGAAATGCTAAAAAGTAATATTTTTGACTCATTCAAATTACTCCTCATCTTAAATTGTACAGTAGTGCAAGTGTCAATACTCTCAACGTCGGATGGCGGAAGGGCGCTGGGGAGGAACTCAGCGTTTTCAGCAACGCCCAGCCTCGGATACTGGTGCCTGGGGACACTCTGCCCTTTATTGGAGTGTTACGGGACAGACACGGCAATGCCAGGAGGTATGCAGTTTTTTCAATAGTGAGACATCAACATTTATTGAAAACTAGCTACTCTCATGCGGTTTCACCCGCTGCTCAGCTCCTATACATTATGCCTTCCTCGATAAATGGACTAATGAACACAAAAATAACTGTTCAATTCGAACCAGGAGTAGAGATTAGCGCGTTCAAACAACAAAACTCTATAGTTTTATAATATTGGGATAGTTTTTATGAAAATAATCATTTCCTAAATTTGTTGAGAAAGGCTCTACTAGTTTCAAGTCACAACGGGACTCTTATTGTTACGCAGCGTGCGTGTCGCGGCGAAGTCGCGCAACTAATGACTTTGCACTTAGTTTTATCAGTTACTAGCTACTCTCGCGCGTTTCACCCGCTCCTCGGCTCCATTTAATCGTAGTGATGTTTTATAACTATCTATCAGTGAAAGAATTTTGGCAATCCGACCAGCGGTTGCAAAGATTAGCCCCTACATACAAACATACAAACTTACAAATTTTACCTCTTTATAAGATTAGTATAGATTCATATGAGTAAGATGTTATTTTCACTTAAGGTATGTAGTTCGTATTGACATGAAGTGTTTTGAAGTTTGGAATGCACAAATAGTGAGGCCATTTAGTTAAACGAACTTGGTTTTTATGGGACTTGCAAAATTTAATTTGTAATATATGTATATGGTGAATGGTAATAAGTAACCGTTATTTAAACACGTGATTATACTCATGATATCAAATAACTTTGCCAAAGAAACTTTTTTCTAATAAGTACTCTAGATATTCTAGATATTTCGTATAGTTAAATCACAAAGTTTAAATTTAGCGCGGCTTCTCCTGGCCTCCTCGCAAAAGACTGGTTCGGGTTTTTTGTCACCCCCCTCCGTGCGCAGATACTTGCCACCGTAGTCACGAGATGTAACACTGCTGGACTTTTCCCCCGCAGGTCTCCAATAGGGTCGCGGTCAACCCGCATCCGCGCCTGGCCACTCGCCGGAGTGACCAAGCGGGCCGCCTCGCCGCTACGGGACAGGCTTAGTAATAGTATGTATACGTCACAATTATATCTTTTAAATATTACAAACAAAATGCACTTATGGTCGAAAACATAAAAGGACCTAGGATTGTTCTAATATCGTAGTTTTTTGATCAATTGCCTTTTGAGAGAGGGGGTATTATCAAATTATTTCTCCCGCTCTGGGTGATGTGAGAGGAAGTGTCAAACTCTTACTGACTAATAAGACCCCGTTCCTTCTCCATTTTCCGGGTTGGGCCAGCGGTACATTTTGCTTGACCCTGAAACTCTTTTGCTGTATCCACGGAATTGAAAATACAGTGGAAGTGCCGCTCAAACATCGCGCGCTAACCAACACGATGAGTAGATATACAACATTTTGGCACATTTGTTGTCAGAATCGTTCGATCTGTTGTCATGATTGGTTGTCATGGTTGTCTCTAAGAAACACGAAATATATTAGAAATTATGCCTTGTTGTGCGGTTTTCAACTGCAAAAAAGTAAGCAGAAAAAAAGATGAGTCTTGTGGTGGTGTATCGTATCATCTTTGAGTATTAACCTTTGTTAATTTTAAATATATTTGATTTTAATTTAAATATCACATTTCATTACTTTAATGCAAACTATAAAGGGCCTTATTTTCATTACAATTAAGTTTAAATCTACTTGTTCGTTATGTGACGTTATATACAATACATTCTAGTAGTTTCGACGCTACTCATTTAGGGATGCGACATATTCGTAAAATAGGTTCATATCGATAATTTTTCATCATCATCGTTCAGAAAATTGATTTTTGTCAATTTTTGTGTATAATTCATAAATGTTTAACTAAGATTGCATAGACACATCAACGTTTTAACCACAAGAGCGTGCATCCGTCTGTGGCAGGTGCGGGTGGTTAATCACCATTTTTATTTTATAACTAGTTTTCGCCAGCGGCTTCGCCCGCGTGCTGTGTTGATAAAAAGCAGCAAATAGCAATAGAACAAAATCTAAGTATACATAAAATTTGGTATTTATCGTCTCATTTTTATGGGTACATCTCCAATGGGTAAATACCCTATTACTTACTAAGTCTCCGCAGTCCGTCCGTCCATAGATAGAAAGGTACGGATCTAACTAATAGGTAAGAGTTACAAATATTTGATAAAACCTATATTATATTATATTTTATACCGCATCGTGTCGAGCACGGCAACCGCTACACAAAAATAATTCTTATACCATGATTCAGTGTTCACTTGCGACGGCGCTATGTCTTATTATCCGAATTTCTAAGCTATCAGGAGTTACACGTGCTATTGTGAGTTAACCATAAAAGATAGACATATGCAGTAAAACATTTTTTTTTAGACAATTTTATTTAAAATATTTCCGTCATACATAATTTCTATGTAAGTTTAACCATTAAGGGTGAGTTGCACCATTTAACTTTAACCAAACCATAACCATAGGAAGCCATGAAACGGCCTCCTATTGGTCAGTTCGACGATTTGACAGCTGATAACGGCTATGTTATTGGTAAAGTTAAATGGTGCAACTCACCCTTAAGGTTACACACGCGACTGAAACTTACAAAAGGGAGTAACTTCTCCCGTTTTCCCAACATTTTCCTTCACTGCTCTGCTCCTATTATTTGTAGCGTGATGAAAAGTATTCTATAACCTGCCCAGGAGTATAAAGAATAATTGTACCAAGTTTTGTTAAAATCCGTCGAGTAGTTTTTGTTTCTATAAAGAACATACAGACAGACAGACAGACAAAATTTTTACTGATTGCATTTTTGGCATCAGTATCGATCACTAATCACCCCCTGATAGTTATTTTGAAAATATATTTAATGTACAGAATTGACCCCCCTACAGATTTATTATAAGTATAGATGTTGTACCTACATGATTTTTATCAGAGTTCCAAAAAGGAGAGTGACTCTCAATACGACTGTAACATTTTTTTTTTGTTTTTTCGTCTCCGTTATTTATGAACCGATTTTAATGATTCTATTTTAGTTGGAAAGGAGATAAAACTTGTAGGAGCGCATAGTGCTTTTATATGTTAAAATCGAAATCTTTAATAATAACTTGACCATCTCCAAAAAACATTAAATCTTCAAAAAATATGTTAATATTTTTCTTTTTTTCTATTAGAACCTTTTTCATCACTGATCATTTGTAGGTATATCGTGTCGATAAATTATATTGCTCACACGAATACAAAAACATCGATATATTGGGATACCCTGCCCTATCTGAGTAGCAAAATAGTAAATGTCTATTGGTACAAGTGCATACAAATATGACATCTATTTCAAAGAAGTTAGCGTTTTGAATAGAATTGAATTTGTTACAGCGCCATCTAGCGTTGAGTGGCTGAACCCGTTTGTAAATTGTTTTATTTAAGTTTTTTACACGATTTATTGATTGTGACATGTGAAATGATAACGACTTTCGCTCATTGTTATAAGACTCAATTTTTAACAACATTTAGAAGATGATTTGCTAAAGTTGCGTTTCATCTTTTTACCCAATTATATGGCTGTTTTTTATGTGTGTAATGGACAATTTGATTTGCGAATGTGTGATTTTGGCGACACTGGTTTTCCTTTTGAAAGAGTGTAGGGGCACTTCTACTTAATTTTCTGTTCTGTGGCTGTATCAATCCCTACGAAATTTTGCCTAATTTATTGTAATTTAGATCGCTATCCCTCTGGTGTTTTATGAGCGTCGACGTCTTTCGAATGTTTGCGAAAACTAAAAACGTCACGTTTGCGCAGCGTAAACGTTGCGCAAACGCGACATTTCTAGTTTTTTTTTACATTTTGACATTTAAAAGCAGGTATCGTTTTATGTTGTATTTGTAATAATAAATTCATTGTTTCATTAATTGTATAGCATACATAAGTGATGAAAAATGGATCGAAAGCCATGATGGTTTTTTATTACTTCTAACACGTGTTTAAACGCATCGGTTATGTATATGTCACAACTATATCTTTTAAATATATATGTATAGTATCAGGTTGTCCAGGTGCGGGCAGTAGTGGGCTGGGCGTGGGGGGCGCGGCGCTGGCCGGCCCGTCCTGCGCCCTCATACACGACGACGACGACTACCGCTCTCCGCCACGGTAACTCAATTTCAGAGCATTTATTTCAAACTAGCTACTCCCGAGCGGTTTCACTTGCAGCTCGGCTCCATTTGATTGTAGCGTGATGTTTTATAGCCTATAGCACTCGGGAACATTGAAGCTATCAATAAGTGAAAGAATTTTGGGAATACGACCAGGGGTTCCAAAGATTATCCCCTACATACAAACTTACAAATTTTACCTCTTTATAATATTAGTATAGACTAGCGCTACGTCCCTGCTTCGCACGGATTACAAATTTTTTTTATTACAGTGAAAAAAATTGTTCTATTCCTTCTATTTTTCTCACAAACTCTGTCTACCCTTTCCCTCCAACTAAAAAATTCCATGAATACAGTTGACTGATTCTGAGCAATAGGTAATTTATTCACATGTCTGCCTCGTTTTTTAGCGAACTACCGCCGCGAACCGCTTTGAGCTTGGAGTTGAATACAGAGAAGAGTCCCCATTCTGTACATCGAGAGACCAAGGAGAAACTAAGGAAGTAAGTTGTAGTTTTGTGGTTACAGAACAGACTTTTGAGAATATAACGTTATAGTAGATGCGAGATTATATATAATCATGATTCTCAAAACATATCTATTACCTACTTTCTTTTTTAACGTGGCCTTCTTCACATTTTTTTTCTTCTGTTTCGTCAGTGCATTTGTAACTTTAAGTAAGTTATTACGAATCCCTGTAAACAGACACAGAACAACATTTTGTACATACCACAAAACTTGTTTCACAGTGCCTCAACTATATCCAAAAGTTATTCTTTTTTGTAGCAGGCCGACAGTCACAAGGCTCATTTTGATACAAAAAAATAATCATACAACTGATATATTTTACATGAGCACCCGCAACATTTTACATATATCATCAGTGTTAGGGCTTAAACTCAGATATACGACGAAATAACGCTTATTCTATGAGACTTAAAATTAATATTTACTCAACCATTTATTAATATCAACAATATTTATTAAGTACTTTATTATTTTTTACAGCAAAGACTGCGTAATAATAAGTCCTCCAATAATGCCTCGCGACAAGAGTCCGAACGCAGTGTTACGCGAGGCCAAGCTGCGCCTGCGCAAGCTGGAAATAGAAGCCGAAGCCGTCGAGAAGTCATACCTCGACTTCCGGCGGAAACAGTCCGAACTACGCCTCGAGAGGAACGCGCGCAGGCAACGCGACGCATGGGACGACGAGATCCCACAAATTGTTGGTCAGTTAGTTACATACGTCACTCTAGCTTAGGTATGTAATACAGGTACTATATGAAATTATCAGCTAACAAGTCGTTTACGTTTAGTTCCAGAAGTAAAAACGAAGAGAAGTCAATCACTCGAGAAACTAGATGAACCCAGTAAAAATGAGGAACAACCATACACCGACCTACATAAATCCATTCGTAACGACTTTGAAAACTACATTCGCGAGTACAAGAACAAGTTCAACATCGGCGAGACACACTTCCGCAGCAAACCCACTGTCGCTGAGAAAGTTAAACCCATCCCCGGAGCTTACTCTGACGCTAAACATCGTGACTGCAAAGCAGATAATGATGCTCAAGGGAACTACCTGGAACAACCGCTTACAGAGTTCAGGAAACTGTACACGTCTGCCAGACTCATATGCAGGGACGAGATCGACACCAATTCCAGAATCATTCACCCAGAGAACACCAGCGACACCAGTAGGACAGAACTCGAGGAGCAGATCTCGAATCGACAGGACGCCATTATAAATATCAAAAACAAGAAACAAGCCGAACTAGAAATACTGAAACAGAATCTTAGCAAAATGTACAACTTGAACAATAGCAACCTCGACTTCAACGTACTCGCAGGCACGTCGGAAAACGAGGACTGTCAAGAAGTCGCTCAAAATGCAGACGAGAATATACTAAGAGTGGAAGTGGAGAACACCAATGAATGGAAAAACCTGGAGTCTAAGACGCAAGAGTTGGTACTGGTCGTGCAGAGCTCAGTGACGGCGCAGGAGGTGACGCTGGCGTGCAACGAGGCGGCGCCGGACGACGTGTCCGCCGTCCTCGGCAGCGCGGCGCCCAGCCTGCCGCGCCTCGTCGCCGCGACGGAGGCCGGCCTCAGCGCGGACTCGCCCCAAGCCTACCTCAGCGAGGCCTCGCCGCCTCTCTCCCGCCGCGGCCGCAGCGAGTCCCCAGACCAGGCCTCGCACTTCACCCGGAACGACGCACTCGACGCAGACCCCAACCAACAAACCTCCAACTCGCAAATGCAACTAGAACTTGCCAAAGAGGTTCTCGACAACTCTGTCAGCGATTACGGGAAGGGCGAGTATGCGGATGACTTCTCAGCTGACGTGGACAACTACAACAGCCGGTCCGACTATGAGAACCACTCCCCCATATCTCTACCCAAGACGTCCGAGGACGAGAACTTTTGGGACTCGTAGTGTCGCCTGACCTCTTTTGTACTTATACTGCGGGACCAGTACTTGGTAAAACCATAAGTGTATGTGCCTATACATAATATTGGCCAAATACAGAAAGCTTTCAGGATTGTCGCAAAGAATATGAATATAGTATTGGACCAAATGTACGTGTATAATATTTGCACCACTGTATATTTTAAGAATTTCGTGATAACTCATTAAGCGTAAGAAATTGTCGAAAATTGAATATTATTGTTTATCATTTCATTTATAAAGGTGTTAAATAAAAACAATAGTAAAAAGAACCAGTCATAATTTATTTATCTATCGTCTATGTGAATTAAAACATTATAATATCATATAAAACATACATTTTTGTTTACCAATATCTCATATCTTTGAATAATATAAAAGTACAAACATTCGTAGACGTAATATCAACAACTCACAGCTTTTGGCATCCGCAGAGTTCCGACATCGCGACCTTACTACATTAAATGCTAATCAACGCAGTGAAACAACTTTATTGTCATATAACACAGGACATAAACAAATGCAACTAGAACAATGTCTTACAATGGTCTACAACACAATACTTGTTTGCGTAACGAATCATTAATACCTAATGTGAATCACAACTGATTTGTGCCAAATGCGCGCTCAAACAATAAATCTAATTCTTTTCAAATACTTTCGTTTGTGTTGCGTTTCAACTCCTAACAACTAATTTATCTAAAATAACGAAATTCGTGAGATTATAATTACATTAACAGAACTCTTCATTGATTGAAAATAACATTTCAATATGACACATCTTTCTATTTATAATAGAAAGCACATACATATCAACAACAAAGAGTTTTCTGAAACTATATCATAAGTACTTATGTTACGGATTCTTCGTTGGCATTTCGTTCCAGTATGGTCGCCTTATGCTGCACAGCAGACAATGAAAGACTTGAAAAATATAAGCTTTGAACAAGCTCTATGTTATGTTACCTTTGTCTTAACCTACGAATGTGATGTAAAACATGCAGAAAGATTGCTTTGTGTTATACATCCAAATAAAGTTTTGAACTATGTCATTCGTTAACTTTTTTATATATTTAGTTCAATGCACTTTGTCACTTTGGTGCATAGTCGCTATCTTCATAAACATGTTAGTCACATTAAATTTAGATAACATAATATCATACCAATGAACGGTGAAATGGACTATGAACAGTGGCCATTTTCAATAACCGATCTGCAGATTTTCTTACTGATAGGATTTTAACACAGACTCCATAACAAATGTGCCAAAATTTTATCAGAAATGAGCAAACACACAGATAAGGTTATTGAAAACAGCCGCTGTCTGGTATAGTACGTCGCCATACGAAAAAATAAAACAAAATATATAAACATTCTCCAATTAATAATAATCATTGAAATAATCATGCAAACAATCGAATCATTATAATTAAATTATTAAATAAACTAATTTCTATTTGTCAATGTATAAAATCGTCATATCAAGATACTAGAATTATGCATGTCACTAACTAAACACGTGTAGATTCAAATTTTATGTTTTTGTATTTAAAAATCAGTTAATAATACCTAAATTGCGTTAGATCTTAAAGAGACGTTAACTATTTTTAATTACAATTAAACAATTTACATATTTTTGCTGCCCAATAAACGATTTAGGAATGTTGCGTGTGCAACGCTGAATTTGTATATACAATTTTTAGATTGAGAATTTTTCGACTCAAATATAATGTAAAGTAAGCATGTATAATTTGAAAGGCCACATGTGTGAGTGCGATGGCGGGAGTGTGGATCAGAAACCGAAGCTGACGTTGTGGTTCGCGTTCTTGACTGCCAGCGCGGACCGAGGGGAGTTGGGGCCCGTCACACGGAGCCAGGTCGATACCTGTACCAAAAACAACAATTACTACATTAATTACACAGAAAATTTTAGAAGACACTTGGTATGTGAAACATTCACTTTTTTTAGTAGTACCATAATATAACAATGGGGCAACTGTTCAAACAACCTGGGTACTATTTCAGATTTCAATAACAACCTACAACTGAGGAGGTTTAATTTGCGAACACTCGACAGTCAAGACAATTAAAAACAATACATGCCTACGTGATAAAGTAGAAATCTACTTTTGGTCACACTGAAAAATGACTTTTATTGTTGCTATAGATAGTAGTATCTATGTGTTTATCAATTTTTATGGCAAATATCTTGATATTACTTTTCCCTTCCTCACTCTTCTAAGTGAGGTAAAGGCAGTGTCAAACTAACTGACGAAAAACCACCCGTTCCTTCTCCAGTCGCCCGCTGGTTATGGATCAACCATATACAATCACATTTGGAACAATTAGAATGAGATAGGTTGCTCTTCAGGTGGTGCTAATCATTCAAGAATTCAGTGCGACCAAAAACAAATTTTACTTGCAATAGTGTGACACTAGCTAAGGATAATGCTAAAAAAAACCCAGGCCCCGGCGCAAACGGTGCATATCTCAAATTTTTACTATAATATAGTAGTTTCATTGGAAAAAAATATAGCCAAAAATTAGTTTTTTAACGTTATATCTTGCTAATCCTTTTATCGTAAAATAAATTTTTAAATAGAATTATTTATCTACATATATATTTTATCATACTACGCATGACCACGATGGCGTTGTCAAAATAGATGTTTAAATGTCATTTATAGAATAAGAGTAAAGAAAGAAACAATTAATAAACACATATTTAGGAGCACCTTACATAAAACAACTAGCAATTTATGATTTAAAAAAAATTGGTAATGCCCCATACTGAATATTATGTCACATATAAACAAATACTTAAAATCTGAGATACATTTCATTTGCGCCGGGCCTGGGTTTTTTCCCATACACGAGCATTGTCCTTTCCTATTGAAGGTGGGTGGTGCACACTAGCGCTATCTGGTGAAGAAAAACAGTAACTTCTACTGTCCGTGAGTCCGACTGTGAGGTTAAGAGATATGTATAAAAAACCAAGGTACATTACCTGCAGTGGAGGTGCTCTAGCAGAATCTCGGTCCCTACAAGGCGTGGAGCACCGCGCGGCACTCCGGCCTGGACGAGATGCTGGGCTGCTCGTTATTCCTGAATAACTCGCCAGCCCCGGGCTGCTCACTAAGCCCGGGCTCGCCGCACCCAGGGACATGCTTACACACATACTGTCTTCTATTGAAGGAGCTGGCAACCATCTAGAAAAACAAATAATAATTACTTTTGAAAACGGAATTATACATTTCAATTTAAAGTCAAATCATTTATTTCAAAGTTCAGCTTTGTGTGTGTATGTAACTAAAGGAAAACATCGTGAGCAATCCCTTGAGCAAGTGTGGTGATTATAATGCTCAAACCTGCAGAGAGTTCCTTTGCTCGGCAGTGGAAACTACAGGCGGATTATGAATTCCCATAGTACCAACCCCAAATAAAACCCGTGTATATTCCTTCGATCAACTAATCACGAAAAGGATATTACGTTATTATTCAAGACTACCTTCCACACGCGAATGAATGTATTAAAAACAGCAGCGTTTTTGAAGCGACAGCCAGACTAAAATGAGGAAAAATAAAAGTATAATTTATAGCCCTCAGGAACATTTTAGCTATCTTTCAGTGTTAGACTTTTGGACTTTTCCAAATATTACCTCTACATACAAACTTATTTTTTTTCATCTTTTTAATATTATTAGGTATTCAAGAAATATTACTAACTTGTCTCTCTGTTCAGGCGGGTAGAGTGCAACGTGGTGTCTCCAGCGATATACGTTGGGGTACTGGTCGACGGATATGGAGGTGGACTGGAGCGCATCGTACACTAGCCGGTCCATCTTCGTCGGCTCCTCGCTGGAACAAAATAAATTAAGTATTGTCACGCTTTGGCAAGGTTGAACAAGACCGGAGTGATAAGACGGCCATAGAGAATTTATTGATCAAAGCCTTCCCCATTCCCAGTACGGAATCAACCCAAAATGACTTGAGTGTGGAAGAGTCAAGCTTCGGCACGAATGGGTCAGCTCGACTAGAGTGATAATACCACGGCCTCACAGAAAACCGGCGTGAAACCACCACAGTGTTGTTTTGCCATGTGAGTGAGGTTACCGGAGGTCCAATCCCTCCCCCTCCCTTCCCATTCCTTAAATATCCCCAACCCTTATCCCCAGAAGGCCGGCAACGCACTTGTAACTCCTTTGATGTTGCGGGTGTCCATGGCGGCGCCGATTGCTTACCATCAGGTAATCCGTCTGCTCGTTTGCCGACTTAACTTTATGGGAAAAGTAAGGCAACGCATTTTTAACTCCTTTGTTGTTACCGTTGTTGTTGACCATAATTGCATACCATCCGTCGGCTCGTTTAAACCCTACATGTTTGCCTGCAGACTATAGGCCTCTGCTACATAATATTAAGAGAATTTACCAATCGAAATACCCAACGAGTCACAAAGTTACATTTGTAGCTGATTTGCCAGTCTTTTGGGGGTTTATTAGGAATTTAAGTTTTTAGAATTTAGGGATGACAGTTCGGGGGGCAAGATTGGCAGTAGCCTTACTCCCACGCTAGCGTGGTTTCACACCGAATTCAAATCTTAGCACAGACCACACCACAAACTATATAATAATTGCACTAATACAATAAATCTTAAATTCTAGCAACACTCACCCGTATATGAAAAGCTCGGCTATAGCGGCATCGCTGGCTTCCGCCATATCATCGTCCTCCTTGTCAGAATGTTCAGACGCAGTGTGGAACTCCTCATCATCAGAGTTGCACGACGCTACTGATTCATCGTCCGATATCTGTAAAGAGTAGGTGGAATGAACTTTACCAACTTAATAAGCGAGCCACTTCTGAACAAAGGCACGAAGAAGGTATCGCATCGCATTAATCACCACGCTTGCTCAAGGCGGGTTGACGATTTCAAACATACATATAATAAGAATTCATGTTCATTCAAGTCTAGATTTCTTTCACTGTATGCCAGTGGTGTTTGTTTAATCTTAAAAAGTACAATATAACTTGCAAAAGGATGCAAGAGACTGTAGGCCGGTGTCGCTTCAATCCTTATAAGGCGATTAACTTCTAGGTCACTACAATTTATTTTTTTATATATTTAAATACCTACTGTTTTGTAGTTGTTACGAAAAAATAATAATAATAAACTATTATGCTTTCCTATTATATTTTTAATAGTAACTATTGGACGTTAACCTTTCATATGCGCACACTGCCTGCTCTAAAAACCAGGCTTTGTTATACATTCATGACTCAGAACAACTCTAAAACAAAGTTTACTACTACGTACGTCACGACCTGGAATAAACTTCAATAAATTATTAATTTATATAGAGACGCCAGCGCATTATCTACCTCACCGTTTTAGTGATAAAGTCGAAAATCTGTTTAAGAAGTCATCTTCACAAGTCAATGATAACTTTGACGCTATGTATAAACCGCAAATGGCTTACGTGAACTGTTTACATGACGCATAAGTCCTTGACGTAACGCTCGACGCATTCATTGATAGCGGATTGAAGCAAGAAATACTCGTATAATTGTATTTCATAATTAAAGTATTCTTCTCAGAACTGACTAGTCTATAAGCTACAAATTGTGAAAAATGACGAATTTAGAAGATTTTGATTGGAACGAAAGGAAAGCCACGATAAACACGTGGCTAACAGGAATTGTTCTATCATCACTGTGTTTAATTTTACAATTATTATTATACAAATTTGTGCCTAAAATACGGCAAACAGACCAGATCGTTCTCACACAGTTGACACTGGCAAGATTATTAAACACAATTGTTGAATTCTTGATATGTTTTGACATATTTAGTTCAATGCAGAGTGATATATTTTGGGGCATACTAACTCAATCGGAGGCAGTGACCATTTGTTGGATGTGCGTTTACACGAAGATATTATACGACAAATTTGTGATTGTTTTAGGTGTGGAAGATATTAACTTGAAGGTACTATCATGTTTAATTTGGTTGCTTACTATACCAATAGGCGCTTTAGATCCAGTTCTTGCGACTGACTACTATGAAACCTTTTTATTATCTTACACATGGGTGAAATTGAGTATTTTAGCAGTGAATATGTATTTTTTCTTTAAAATTTATAATGTTATCCTTGACGTAAAGATGAAAGCCAATAGTAATATGACTAGTATTGTACTATCAAGCGTGATATCATTTATATTGTTTTGCATTACAAGTTTTGGGTCGTTTGTTAGTATTTTAATGACAGATGTTGTGGGTGAACACGGCTATATCGATCAAGTACTAGATGACGGGTTTTTGATCATGAATTCTTTTGCTGGTATCGCTATTACTGTAATATTTGTTATTAGAACTAAGACTGAAATGAAAGATAGACACAAATAAAAGAAATATTTTAATAAAGATGAATAACAATGCATCATCATTGATGTTTTGTGTGTAAGGTAGCTTTTATTGGTCTTTTGACATCCTATTAATATTATAAATGTAAATTTTGATTGAATGTATATTTGTTATTCTTTTATGCAAAAACGGCTGGACCGATTTGGGTAAAATATTAACATTTTTTTTGTGGTTAAAAATTGATATGTAGATAGTCGATGCCCTAGATTAACACATTGGCTTTATATCAACATACCACGCGGGCGAAGTCACGGGCGGAAGATAGTTATAATAAAAGCCATTAAATTGTTGCATACTGATTAATAATAAACCTTGTATCAATTAGATTGTATTATTTTAAAATATAGTTCTTTGTGTATCAAGGTCACTGTAATTTAGAATGTAAATAAATTCTTATTGTTTAATTTTATTTGAATGTTAAATTGTTATAAAGATAAGTATTTGGTTGGACTGATAATAAAGAAAATTTCTTTTTTGATTTTTTTTTTAGTTCGGCAAGAGGGTTGCCTGTGTCGGATTCTTATTACCGCGTCAATAGGTTTATATAGGGTTTTTTAAGGGTGCGAAAAAATATTTGGTATTTGGCGTCATATGGCAAGTATCAGACTCTTACTGACTAACCCTGTTAATTCTCTTACTACTGGCCGGGGCCGCGGCATCTCTGATTACTTGGTAGGACTTTTTTTTGTGAGGGGAAAATCATCATATGACTTCTCCCGCCCAGGGCCGGGCAGGAGGGAGTGTCAGACTCTTACTGACTAAAAACCCTCCTGTTCCTTCTCCTGCTCTGTGCCGAGATCGCGGTGCCTCATTGCGCTTACCCCGCAACCCCGGCTGAACATCAGCTCTTTAGGGCCCCGTCTGTGGTGGTCTAATGGCTTTTAGAGGCGCGCTCGGAACGCTACGCGCCGTACGCTCGAGATTACTTGGTAGGTGACGCCACGATTTGTACAAGTTTTTGTAGTGTAATTAAACATTTCATTGCTCAAAGATGAAATTTTAAGAGACAGACAATTTTATTTTGACGTATCGTATTTATAGAATAAACGGACATAAATACTATGATTTATTTATATGGTAAACAGTGTCTTATTAAATAGTACTGTTAGTACAAGTTAGTAAAAGTTAAGTACATATCTAAGTAGTGTCACAGGTAGGCATTTTGCATTTTTAGACTTTATTTTGGATTCAAACTATGAGTAAGCAATTGTGTTAAATAAGTTTATACCTACTTATTGACTGACTTTTTCTAAATAACAAACATCGTTGTTTATGGTTTTATTAAAACTTTAAAAAACGTTTGGAAATATATTTTCTAGTGAATCGTCTCAAGTATCGTTTATAAAATCTAAGCAATCGTGGCATCCCAAGTTTACGGCGTGTTGCGTGCAGCGCTCGCCTCAATGAACCTAAACCTATATAGGGCTAAAAATCAGCCGGGGTTGAGGGGCAAGTACAATAAGTCACCGCGGCCTCGTCCTAGAGCAGGAGCAGGAACGGGGGTGAGGGGTTTCAGTCATTAACAGTCTGATGTCAGTCCTTTTCGCCTCACCCTGGGTTGGAGAAGAAATTTGATGATTTTCCCCTTTAAGTGTGGGAGAGCCATGCTTCGGCACGAATGGGTCGGCTCGACAGGAGTGATACCACGGCCTCACAGAAAACCGACGTGATGCAACCCACAGCGTTGTGTTTCGCCGTGTGAATGAGGTTACCGGAGGCCCAATCCTTCTCCTCCCCCAATCCCTCCTCAATCCCTAAATCTCCAAATCCCTTATACCTAAAAGGTCGGCAACGCACTCGTAACTCCTCCGTTGCGGGTGTCTATGGGCGGCGCTGATTGCTTACCATCAGGTCATCCGTCTGTTCGTTTGCCGACCTATTACATAAAAAAAAAACAAAAAGCTGTCATACTGACCTCTGCCGGTAGCACCTGGCACTTGTTGGTGTCGAGCGTGTAGAGAGCCGTGGGGGCGCCACTGTCGCCGGCCGGGGAGTTCACGCTCACCACTCGGGATACCTCGTTGTGTTGCAATTTGCCGTCACCTGCCATATTGAGCTTTGTTATATCTTAAATTCTTAGATATTTGAAATTTCTATGAGAAGCGCATTGTATGAAGTCATAATATTTAAACGGAAATAGCATTATTTTATCTGAAAAATCAACTAGAAAAATATAAAATTAAGTTCAATGATGACAATATGATTATATTTAAAAAAATATGTATAAATTCATTTTCGACCTTCGAAACTACCTAATTTTGAATAAGACAGTCAAGTTTTCGTAATCTGTAAATATATTTGGATAAGTTTGGTTACGCGATCGATGGCCAAATCCGTAATAAATTAATTCGTAGTGCATGAAGACGAATTTAGCGCTAAGCTGTTCGGTTGTATTGCTGACGTCATATGAGAAGAGCATCGCGTATAAATACAAAGGAATAACTTACCAATATCATGATCAAAAGTCAGTCTTCTAATAAAACTCTCGCTCTTCGGACTAGTCGACAGTATAGATCTATTTTTCCTAAACGATGCGTTCTTCTTGCTGTTTCGTTCGAAAACTTCAATCTTCCAATCGCACCGGCATTTCGAGGCTTTCTCCCACAGCTCAGTACATTCAATCTCCGACATCGCAGGAGCCTTCAGTACTTCAGCTTCAGTCAATTCTTCGCATATAAAACTAGTTAAACATCTAACATGGCCGTCTATCACGTGAGTCAGTTTTACTCTACTGGGACCTCTATAATTCGGTTTCCTTTCATCGTCAGAACTAAATATATCGTCATTTGGACATCGGAGTTTCACAAGGAACTCCAATAAATGATTGATGTCATCTAAGTCACTAGTTTGTTGCTTCAGTTTGTATACCACTAATTGTGCTAGTCTAGAATGTATTAAGGCAAAGTCTATCTTTTGAAATCTTTCGTCGTCCATGTAAGTGAAGATTGTGTGTTGGAGGTGTTTGGACTCGGATTTGAGAGCGTCGCCGGCTGTCTCAGGCTCGGCATTCAAGGAAAATGTTAGTGCGTCAGCTATTCTCTTAGCGAATACTTGACAAGTCCGCTCTATACAGAGTAACTGACTCACTGTATGGTTAATTACAGGGGCATCTCCGTTCAAAGTCTTCGGTCCAGGTTGTCTACATAGCCTCTGCCTCAAAGGATCAGTTTTCCTCCAATGCGCTGGTCTTTCATTATTTATTTTACAAGATTTCATTGCAACGCAGAGCTCCGACATGGGGCTAAGCGTTGAATCTTTTGAAGGACTTTGTTGGGATATGGAGAGACTGATTCTGGAGAGTGAGAGTTCTTCAGGCACGTGAGACTGGGCACAACTATCGCTGTACGCGTATGAACACGCGCTGTCGTATTTACTCTTTAGATAATTCTCGAGTAATGTCAGTCCTTCGGGTGTTCTAAGGTCAGTGAACGTGTCTAAAAACGGCCAATATTCCTTCCAGCCAACTTTCATTTGTTCCGCTAAACTCCTGAAAAGATTAATGATGATGAGATTTAAGTTACTTTAGCTAAATCTCCGTAACAGTAAACACAAAGCTTTCTACCAAGTAGGTAAGGTATGGAATTGGAAATTCAGTCTTGTCCAAGTACATAATACTCCTAAAAGAGCCAATTAAAATACAATGAAGAACATTCCAGTTTTACTACTATCAGGAGTTACAAAACCTTATTAAAAATATATTACTAATAACTTTGCTACGTAAATTAGTTTAACATACCTTCCAACAGTTTCTAATCCCTTAGTGATCTCTTTAAGTCTAAAATTTTGTGTTTTGGCGCTAGGGCTGGGTGGGGGCGCGGGGCTATGGTCGGGTAGTAGGCGGGGCGGGGGCGCGGCGGGCGCAGGTGCTCGGGGCGGGGTCTTCCATCGACGACGGAATAGTTCCGCAGCCCGAGCTTCCATAGGACCCGCGTAGGCACGGATCTCGTAGCGAGGACTTAACGGATCACGGTTTATGTCCTGCAAATTAAAACAAAAATATTTGTTAATGTCTCAGCTTAGAGCCGTTCAATCAATCAGTTAGCGCTTTTGGATTTGCGAGGACGGTTGATTTCTGTGCAGGTCACAGTTGTAACCTGAGCTAACATAGCTTCACCGTTCAGCATACAGCCTGAATGAGAAATTTAGCTATAAAATTAAACGAATAGTCATTTAGGGCGTTGTTGGAATGGTTAATTCAACCTCTGAGTTTGTTTCGGCATTTCTTCTCAGAGCAATCAGATAGGAAATGTCGACTTCATCTAGTACATATAATTTTTTACATATAATTTGACGTGTAGTGCCGTTTTATGGCCTATGTGCAAAAATAAATTCATAGTTTCGACTATTTGGCTGCGACGTATACACAACAACGCGATTGTGAAAATTGTTACCTTCAATTTTTATCCACTTAATTCAGAAACAGTAATACGAAACTAATATTGAAATTGTAAGCGCAACCGTTGCGCAGAAACCTTTAGAACAAAAATTCAAATTGCGCAAATAGTAGTATAATCAATTTGGCTTTTAAGTAACTATTATTACAATGAAGTATACATACGGGTGGTACGGCCGGTGTAAAGGCCTTCCCTATAGTGGGCACGCCGCTTCCATCTTCAGTATGTAGTACAGGTACATAGTAACGTTCCTGCAACATACACGCTATGCGACTCGCCACGCCTGCTTCACAGTTCGACGCCCGTTTGCAGATTATCTGTGGAACGAAAAAATAAAAACAATTGAAATAAATTATATGGGTATTTGATTACCATTTTATTTTTAGGTTACACTCTTTTATACTCTTTATTGTAATTGGGGAAATAACAACAAATAAAACGAAACGATGCTCTTCAGAGCTCTTTGAAAAATTATTTGAATGTGCTCTTACGCACTTTTTTCCTTTGGAGCTAGAGTTATCTAGAAGGTTTAATTATTACGATATATATAGCTTCTGACAGCGGTTTTGCCTTAAAAACAAGTAGCGTTTGAGATAATCGAGATTCTAGACTTTAATCTATCTCGAAGGCAAATTTCATTCAGATCAGTTCAGTAGTTTTACATAAAAGCGTAAAAATCCATTCCATTTATCCATCCATATTTACAATATTATTCCCGTTTGTAATAATAATAGGATATTAAAGCGACATTATTGAAATGACTTACATCCTTAGGCTGTTCCCCGTATTTATTGACAGCAGTCCGGTTGCACTGCGGGAAAGAAGTGAGCACGTCCACAACTTGTTCCGCGCCAAATTTGGCCGCGAAGTGCAGGGGGGTCTCGTTGATAGCCTTATCCGGAGTGTTCAGGTAGCGATCCACCAGGATACCTGCAAACTCCTGGAACGAGGAACATAGCAAAATGTTGAAATCAATGTTAATTAGCTAATCTAGGCTTTAAGTCTTTGTCAGCGGAAAATCATGAAATGGTGAGAGTAAGGCGAGAGAGAGTGTCAGACTCTTACTGACTAAAACACCCCGTTCCTCCTCCTGCTTTAGGCCAAGGCCGAGGTGCCACATTGTGCTTGCCCCGCAAACCCCGGCTGAAGGTTTTAAGTGTGGAAGAAGATTTTCTCCGCACGATTGGGCGCGACTCGATTGGAGTGATACGCAGAAAACCATCGTGAAACTACACTTGCATCGTGTTATATTCCAGAGCATAATTGATCTGTATGGCAAAATTGCAGATTTATTGTTTTTTTTTATAACTTTCGTGAGTCATACTAAATTAATTATTATGTTTTCGGCTTACTTACGTAATTGTTTGTTACCAGTAGCAGCGCGACAGTCGACGCGTCGCGTCTCGCGGGATGCTGCTTATGAATATGGGCCTCTAAGGGCAGGGCTTGAAACTAGACGAGTATCTCGTCAAATAATTACGTGAATAAGCCGTAAACATAATAATTAAGTTTTTGTTTTAAAGAGTAGATTTTAAGTAAAAACGACGAATAAGAAGACCTGAAAATCGAGCTCAATGGCGGGAAACTGGGAAGACCAGTCAGGTCCAAAAGTGGTTGAAACCAGGCTGATGATGATGAAATAAAAACGTAACAAATATCTATCCCTCTTTCAACACGTAAGTTAGTACAAACCTTCGTGAATACAATTTTATCATAGAAGGCTATCCAATACTACATAAAAATACCTATATACCTGAAGTTGACATACAATCGTATAAAAACAGGTCTCTCACCTTACAAGAGTCAGGGTCAGCATCCATGCCGTACAAGGTCTGCACAAACGTAGGGTTACCGACCGTCGTCAGTATTAAGTTGCAGATCTCCGCGTTCATTGCCTTAGCCGCTATATGCAATGCGTTGTAACGAGATCCTTCCTGAAATAAAAGAAAAAAGAAATAAAATTTATTTAAAAAAATACTGTTAGTCATTCTAGAAAAAAAAATGCCTATATTTTCGTAAGCAATGGACAACCTCAACACCTAAGAAGTTGCCAGTGCGTAGCCGGCGTTTCAGGGATAAGGGTTTCGGATATTTAAGGATTGGGAACGGATGGGTGAGAAGGAGGGATTGCGCCTCCGGTAACCTCACTCACACGGCGAAACATGACGCTGTAGTTGTTTCACGCCGCTTTTTTGTGAGTCCGTGGTATCAATCGGGTCGAGCCGATCCATTAGTGTCGAAGCTTGGCTCTCCCACACTTAAAATCTTTTTGATATTATCCACCATAATATCTACTCATTAATATGTAATTATTAAAAACTAGCGACTCTCGCGCGGTTTCACCCGCTGCACCATTTGATCGTAGCGAGATGTAAGCCTATAGCAGACAGGAATATTGTAGCTATATATCAGTGTAAGAATTGTGGCAACCCGACCAGCGGTTGCAAAGATGACCCCCTACATACAAACTCACAAATTTTACCTCTTTGTAATATTAGTATAGATAATTCGCAAAATATACATATTTGAAGGCACATAACTCAACAACGTCTAGAAAAATTTGGCCATTTACAATTCATATTTACAAGACCTTACACAAGGGATACGACAAACGACAGACAGTAACCTTGTGTACATTACTTAATTACAATAACGTGTAGGTATGTCTGTTTGTGTGTCATTAACGCCATGCCAACTAACTGCGCCTAGCCTATTGAATGTTAATTAAAGTACTTAAGTCATTTGCACTTCAAATACGTTGTAACTTGACTTGTGATTAGGTATATATAGGTATAGTATACTAGCAGACCCAACCACGCGTTGCTGTGGCATAGGTAAATAATATTGTGACTATAAATTGAGATGTAAGCAATCCTATCTTTCAAGTTGGATCAAATAGCACACGGAATGCAAATCAAATTTAAAATCGGTTTAGTAGTTTGGGAGTCCATCACGGACAAACACGTGACACGAATTTTTTATATATAAAGATCATCGGAAATCTTGTTGAGAGTGAACAACGCTTCATCACTTGGGTGTATGAAAAATAGTCCTCTAGCTGATTCTTAGACCTACTAAAAATCCTTATAAATTTCGATAAAGCCGTTTAGGAGTAAGGTAACTAACATTGTGTCACGACAATCTTACACTTATATAAGATTTTAAGTACTGCAATTTATCGATTTGATTGATGTCAGAATTAAAGTACATCAATATTACTCGTCTAGAAATGCCAACTAAAGAGTGAAGTCGCTAGGTAAGTGTCATAAAGCTTAGTAAGGAAAGTTATATCATTATATAGCTGGCAACAGGCTGGTTTTTAGTCAGCAAGACAAGGGAAAACGGGACAAGTCTGGCGCCACCCCGGCGTGGAGCCAGTAGTATTGTCAGACTCTGTCCCACCCTGAATAGGGCGAAGGGGATTGTTACAATCTTGCTGACTAAACACTATCCCGTCTCTTCTCCTGCTCTAAGCCAGGGGGAGGCATGTAATCGTCATTGCGGTTTTTAAGAACAGATACGTAGTTACTACTAGTACCTTCCTTGTTTCTTCTTTCGTTGACCTTACTTGTATAAATACAGATTGCAAATAACTTTTAAATGTTTTTTTTGTGAGGGGAAAATCATGAAATACTTCTCCCGCCCAGGATGGGGCGGGAGGGAGTGTCAGATTTTACTGACTAAATCCCCATTTTTTCTGCAACCCCGGCAAGGTTTTAATGCGATCAAAAGCTTTTTCACCTCTTTTTTCAAGTCTTACCTGCATAATGGCGGGCGTATTCCCACTGCTGACTAGGAACCTCGGGTTGTCCCACACTCTATCTCTCACGGTGGTAGCTAGACCAGCTTCTATCGCCTTCCTGAGCGCCACCATATCTTGAGGCGAGGGTGCCTTGAATGGGTAAGGCTTCTCTCCCATGATCGCTGTAAAAATGTGCAATATATAAAAGAAATGGTAAAGGGCAATTTGTAATAATTAGGATCGGATAAATTGGATTTTAGAAACGTAGTATCTAGAACAGTAATAGGAGAGAATTAGGCTCCCGGCTAATCGTTGTCTCACACCATTTTTCTACCAAGTATTGACCTTCCACGTGTCAAAACTTAAAATATAAGTATTATTTACATTCTCTTATGATTTCCTTAATCTGTAGTTTCAAAACAAAAACATCTATTAAGATTAGAACGCGATAATTAATTCACTGAAGCGTAAAAAGCTAGTATTAGAGAACATAAATATTAAATTATTGTATATTCTTTATTCAAGCGGAAACTGTAACTTTGAGAAATTTTAAAATCTAAATAATCCAAAGTAAAAAGTAAAAAAAATTGAGAAAATATATTAAAATGACATAATTCCTACGTTATGATATAACTAGCTTTCGCCCGAGGATTCGCTCTCGTGGTATATTGATAAAAAGTAGCCTATGTCCCTATGCCTGTGCCAAATTTCAGCCAGAGCCGTTTTGGCGTGATTGACTAACATACATCCAAACATCGTAAATTTGGCATTTATAATACATATAAGTAAGAGTAAGTTAGTAAACTATGTCCTTTTATTAAAATTTTATTGTTAATTGTTTCCTAGCTAGACTAATTTATTCTACACCAAGCTATCTGCTCAAACAGGTAATTTTACGACAATTACCATTAACCATTAGCGGTTACTATGTGGGTTCAGTAATGAGGTCTTTGACCTAAAACATGTTAACTTTCGATCCGCAAACATGTAGGACGCCCGTAATTTTACTTTCAAGCGAAAGTACCTACTAACGGCAATTCGCACAAAACCACAAAAAGCTTTAGTAACATGAACAGGAATTAAGTTATACGCATTTTATAGAGGAAAATAGACATATAAGTTACTTTTACTTCCAATAGGACGGTGTCAGCAGACTATCCACTTGGGCCTTGAAGACAAAGTAAGGTAAGGGGAACAAAAACTCAGTAATCAATAAGAGTGGGAGAGCCATGCTTCGGCGCAAACGGCCGGAGTGATGATACCCCGACCTCACCGTATATCCGCGTGAAGCCGTGTGAGTAAAGTTCGCGCTCCTCCCTCCTCAATCCCCGACCTTAAATCCCTAATACAAAACAAAAGGACGGCAGCGTAGTTGTACAGCGTACTTTTTGTATTACGAATATTCACTGGCGGGGCTAATTGCTTACTATCAGTTAATCCATCTGCTCGTTTGGCAAACCCACAAACATCCAACACAAAAAAATAGTTGTTTCGAATCAGTATTTTGTTTCGAAGCGCTTTCAGGCATACAAACAATTGTTCAGCTCTATAGTACTAGTACAGATAACATTTAGATAAAGTGATATAATGAGGATGGTAGTCTCGATTTCAGGCCGAGACCTATCTAAAGGACTCGCTTTTCCTAAAGAATTCCTATTTACGTGGCATGGAGTTGGGCCACCATATAGGAACCGGGTCCACTACTTAAGCTCTTTTTGGCAGTGTGTATAAACCTTAGGGTTAGTTTATATTAGGACCAACCCTAAGGTGCCTTAAATTCTCTAATACAACGTGTTTTTAGTACTTTAGAATTAACGAGCGTCGTGCCTTGATCTTTGACACAGTGTGACGTGTCTTAATATTTTCGTCAACGTGCAACCGATTGCACAAATGCCAAGTTTGGTACAATAAGCATTGTTTCACAAATACAATTGAATATCGATTGTTATGTATATTTTATTTTAGTAAAATGAAGAAATACACGTCGATAATTGGGGAAATAGAGTGTTGTTCATAACTTAAGGCTTGGAGAAGTCGGGATTGCGTGTCAGGGTGAAAGTGCAGAAGAAGGAGAAGGAACAGAGGGCCTAACATGACGTGTTAAAGCGTAAATCTCTCGGGCGAGAAAGAGGGGTGGAGTGAGTGAACACCTTTTATAGCTTCATCCCTTTTTCTAGACCGAAATATTCACGCTTTAAAGGATGAATTCGATGAATTTCCCCTTCAAAAAAGACTTCAAAAAGTGAGATTATATGGAGATAATAAGGCCAAAGAGGTCCGTAAGACAAAACTTGAACTTGAAATGTGTTTTCAAAGCTAATTCAAAGGACTGGTAGTAATGAAAACGACAATAAGAAATGAGTGCTGAATGGTAACTCAGTGTTTGATAACGAATAAAAAAGAAAATAAAAACGAACTAGTTAGAGTAAACACGCTGAAATGCACGTACAGTTAACATTAGTCACAGTCTTATCGTTATAAGAACGTATTTTAGCTAGTTTAGTATTCAGGTGGATAATTGGTTGCTTAGTTGCGCGTTACAATTTATACCGTAAAGCCACTTTATATTTCTTTACAAAACTAAGAAATAACTAACAAAATCGAAGAATAAATTGACTAATTGATTGAAGCGATTTGCAGTACGCAGGGCTGACTTTTCAATGGTAAAGAAAAAGGTTTTTTGCGGAATAATTATGATGCTGTCGCGTCAGAATGTTTATATAAGACAGTGACAGCAATAATTTTATTACTAAGAAATCATTTTTCTCACTGTTGAAAAATCAGCCTTCAAAAGAAACCTGATAATTACGACCGTATGACGTTAGTTTTCTTTGTTTCCCGCGTAAAAATGGCGTCAAAGAAAAAAATCAAGTATTATGAAATGACATTGTTTGTAAACATAAAGTTGGCATCCTGACAATGAACTTCCAAGTTCCAACTAGGCATAGACAAGTTAAAAAGGTAATTAATAAAGTGATCTGCGAACGCAAAACATATCTATATTTTTTTTTTTTGGAGTTTATGGCCTGGATACGAGTCCTTTAAGCCAAGTCTTTTAATTTACTCGGTTTTATGTTATTATATACTTTCCAGAGTATTTTTAATGAAATTGTATAACGGCACTAAACACTTTGGATCACGTAGTAGATCTTCTAGGCGGCGGGAGGAAACATTATCTACAATTTCACTTAGTTCACTGGCTAAAATCAACCTTTGCATGTTGTAGTCACTGCATACCAACACTATGTGACTAATGTCACATAAGACGTTACAATTCAAGCACTTGTCATTTGCATCAAGTTTGAGTCTTGCAAGGTGTGCGGGTGTTCTATGATGTCCGAATCGAAGCCTGCATATAGTAGATATAAAATCTCGTCTGGCGTACTTGTATTGCTTTTGGTCATACCACGGTCTCACAGGTAAGTCCGATTGAATAGTACCGTACCACTTTCCTTTTTCTTCTTGGTCTTTCTTCCAGAAGTCTTTCCATACATGTTTTATGTTTTCTCTAATCAGTGCATAGCAGTCCGTAAAAGGTACCTTTACAATATTAGATACATTTATACAATTTATCCCATCAAATGCAGCTCTATCAGCGATTTCATTGCCAGTAATACCTTTATGTGAAGGGATCCACATAAAAGAAACTGAAATGCCTTTATTTTTTAAATTGAATAAAACTTCTCGAATCTTAATTAAAAGATAATTTGTTTTGAAATGAAAATTAATATTCTCTTATGCTTTAATCACACTTAAAGAGTCAGTCAAAATTAAATAGGTTGTGTAATGCATTGATGAAATTTTTTTCAGGGCCTCAAGAACTGCATAAGCCTCTGCAGTGAATATGCTACATAAAAGACTAAGCTCAAAGCTTTGACAAAACTGAATTTGAGGATCATAAACAGCACTGCGAACATGAGACAAACCCTTACTGCCATCGGTATAAAGTCTATAATAGTGACTGTTAAGGTGAATAAAGTTTAATAACTCCTCATTATTACTAACTACTGTATTTATAATTGAGACTTCAAATAACAATATCTTGTACTTTGTGGAGTAACATGCCCAATGAGAACTTTTAATTATATTCGAAAATTTAAAATGTGCTTCCAGGATAACCTGAGATAAATCTGGGATAATATGACAGTGAAGGCCAGCCCCAGTCACACCAGACACATTGTGAACTACTGGATACTGAGGTAAAATTCTTCTTAAAACTTCATTATTATTAGCTGCAAATAGCTTTACAGAAAATCTTTGAGCAAGTAGATATCTTCTTATACTAAGGGGCATCACCCCTGTCTCAACTTCCATGGCACGGATGGGAGTTGAGCACATGGCGCCAGATATTATCCTCAGACCTTTGTTTTGTGCTATATCTAATCTATGTACATAATTACAATCAATATAGGCTAGACAACTGTAATCAAAATGGCTTCTTACAATGGCTTTGTACAAAATAGCAAGAGTAACTGGGTCAGCTCCCCAGGAGACTCCTGCCAAACACCTCATGATATTTAAGCCTTTCAAAGAATTTTGTAAAATGTACTTGATATGACCTTGGAATGTCAGTTTATTATCAATTTGCACACCTAAAAATTTATGACTGCTTACTATAGGAATTGCTTTATCATTGTATAACACAGACAAGCTAGGTAAATCTTTTGTTATAAACATTACATTACTTTTGTTGGGATTGATATTTAATCGAAGTTTATTGTTGTAGTAGTGATATAATTGACTAAGAGCATTATTAATATTAGCAATTGCCAAATCAATATCATTATGTACACTATATACAACAAGGTCATCAGCAAACTGCAAAATATTTACATTATCCATATTTACATATTTACAAATTTGAGATGTATATATATTATATAACAATGGGGACAAAGTTGCCCCTTGCATTGTTCCTTTTGACACTTGCCTAGGACCATGTAAAATATTATTGTGTTTTACATATAGTATTCTTTCATTTAAGCACCTGCACATTTTCATTTAATTTTTGCACCAATATATGTAAATGTTTTATCAAAATATAAGGAAAGTTGTCCAATCCAGGCGCAGAATTTTTTCGGGAATGAAGACTCATATTAAACTCATGCCATGTAAAAGGTTCAATTAAAAACTGTGTCTCATTATTATCATTATTAATATTAAAATACATATCAACATCAACTATACCATCAGATCGATTATCTGATAGTTTATCTAAGAATGGCAAAACAAATTCATCAGAAAGTGATTTATTATGAGTTTTCCTACCCTTAAACATTTTAATATAGTTCCAAATCTTACTGATAGGAGTATTTCTATTAAAAGACTCACAGAGATTGCGCCAACCATTTTTCTTTTCTTCAGATATGGTTCTCTTTTTCAAGGCGTCTAACTTCTTATATATAATGTAGTTATCCATTGTAGGATTACTTCTATAGTATTTTAAAGCTTGATAAGACTTAATGACGCTTTGTTCGCACTTCTCATTCCACCATGGCGCTGGTGGCCTACTTCTATATGAACTAGTCTTGGTATACTTTGGGATGCAAAGTAACTTCAAAGAGCTAAGTCTATTACAGAAGGTATTATATGACTTCAAAGGGTTCTCAGTATCCACATTGATATCATTAAATAAAGTTTCAGATATTTCACAGTACTTCACCCAATCTGCTTTTTTGTATAAAAATTTCTCTATTGGAGGATTTGTTTGATATTTATTAACAGCTAAAGTAAGATTTGTAATTGTAGGGAAATGATAACTACCCATACTGTCATCATGTACAGTCCAATCACACAGTGGTGCTAAAACTGCACTTGTAAAAGTGATATCAATAGCTGATGGGTTACAATTAGGCCGATTATTTGTTGTGAAACTGCCATCATTCAACAAGCATAGATCCAACTCATCAATTATATCATATAGTTGCTGCCCTCTGCCCTTGGTGCTTACACAGCCAAAAGCAATATGATGAGCATTAAAGTCTCCTGAAATGAACACTGGCTTGGGCAGTTCTTTTATGATATTTCTCAATTTGTTTAATCTAGTATGGCCACTGTGTGGTGGACAATACACAGTCAAAATAGATAAGTCACCTAACTCTGTAGAAAGAGAAATTGCAACAGTTTGTACATCTTCATAAAATGTGGTTTGTAAAGTTGTATACTTTAAATTATGTTTTATGAGGATAGCTATTCCCCCATGTTCATTAGCTGCATTTTTGAAATGTATATTATATTCAGGAATGTGGAAAGGTTTGTTATCTTTAATCCACGTTTCATTTAAAAGGCAAATATCAATATTTTTATCATTAAGAAACTTTAAGAGTAAGGGCTTTTTACTGTATACACTTTGTATATTAAACTGAGCAATGCATAGCTGAGATTGTATATTGGAGTCTATATCCATTATGTAAGATTCTCCAGTAGAATATCTTTAATAGTTGTTGTATTGATTGGAGGATCATCCTTGCCCTTATTGGCGATTACAATGAGTGTGCGAACAATGGCCTTAAGTAAGTCATTATTTGCCAGGAGTTGAGCCTTGACATCAGCAACAGAAATTATTTTAGGTTCAGTATTTACAGGTACATTATTTATAGGTGCAGAATTTACATTTTTATTTACAACAGAATTTTTATTTACATTGACCTGAGGTCTTGGTTTGCGCAATGGTGGGAAATCTCCCTGAGTCACATTAAGTTTAGTTTCAGCCTTACTAGCGTAAGTAATACGTTCCTTTTTTTCCATTATCTTTTTTAACTTGATTTCGCATGCCTTTGAAATTGCTAAATGTGGTCCACCGCAATTAGCACAGCAGATTGCTGAGGGGTTATCACACTCTCTATATGAGTGGTCCCCAGCACAAATGCTACATTTTTGTTTGCCATTACATATTTTGGCTGAGTGGTTAAATTTGAAGCAACGGTAACATTGTTGTAGAGGAGGGATATAGTCAAAAATGCGGTAAGAGAATAAGTCATATTGTACATTTTGTGGTAAAGAACTGGACAGAAAGGTAATGCTCACTGTATGAAGTGGTACCCGTTCTTGTCCAACCTTTTTGGTGAATCGTCGGACTGCAATTATTTCATACTCCGACTCTAGCTTTGAGTAAAGCTCCTTGTTAGATAAGTTTGTGGGTACGTATCGGATAATTCCTGTTCTTTCTATGTCTGCCGCTGGTATGAACGCCTTAAAGTTGTACTTCTCCAGAAATGAAGAGTTACTTATAAAATTATTAGCAGTATTATACTGCTTGAACACCACCGCAATCTTGTTAGCATTGATTCTACGAATCGCTACTACACCTTTTACCTCATTTACAAATATATGATTTAAAAAGGTTGGACTTTTATTGCCAATTTTTTCACCCTGCACGTAAACTTTGAACTCCAAATTTGAAGAATTTTCTGGATAAAGTCTTTTGTATCCGGGTTTTAGATAGGGTAAAAAATCACTTTCCTTACCCCCGCCGCCATCGTCCAAGTCTTTAAGTTTATGTTTTTTTGGGGCCGGGGGTTTTGGGCCCCCGCCCTCGCCAACATCCATGTTTAATACACTATTATGTACACTTTACTATTTACATGCAATTTACAATGAAATAAAATATTAGATTAAAAAAAAATCACAAATGAAAAAACTTTTCATGCGCTATATTTGAACTCCCGCCAACATATCTATATAGTATTGAGGCCCATAGATAGAAAATAAAATTTGTATTGTTTTTTTGATTTTATGTATTTCTTTATAATGTTACTACACTATTGTATTAGGAAACTCCTGTGATAATAGTTGTATGTTGGTGATAAATAAATAAATAAAAACTATTGAGAGTTAGTTATGTGAGAGTATTAGTAGGTAATTAGTTATTAACTAACTAGATATTATTAGTGTATGTAACAGTGTTTTTCACATGTATTTTTATCGCAATAATGAAATAACGAGTAAACCCATCACTGTTAAAAATGAACACGTGATTTTTTTAACGTAGGCAGAAAGTACAACATATTACTCATACGTTATACACGTTTTATCCTTGAATGAATCTGCCCACTATCACGCCACCTACAATCTAATTTTAAATATCGAACGACTTCGCTGAGTTTTTAAACAAACCACGCCCAAATATTTTGTACAATTCGCTATAATGTATCAAATCTCGTCAAGTTATAGTAAAAATTGTGCCTTAATTTTGAAGACATAGAGCTACTTTTGGACTGCGGTCAAATGCAAATAAGAAGTATTTGGCAAGGAAAAACTACTTTCATTTTCACAATGGTATATTTGTTTATTTGGCTTGATAACACACATTGTTTTCTAGTACATACTAGGGGCACGACTAATTGCAAACTTATCTATACTAATATTATAAAGAGTTAAAATTTGTAAGTTAGTAAGTTTGTATGTAGGGTAATCTTTGGAACCGCTGGTCGGTTGTCAAAATTATTTAACTGATAGAACAATCCTGAGTGCTATAGGCTATAAAACATTACGCTACGATCAAATGGATCCGAGCAGCTGATGAAACCGCGCGAGAGAAGCTAGTACTACTTAGATATAGCTAAAATAATAATGTTTACTCTGAATTAGGTGCTAATAATGACTGATTGATGAAGGTTTTAATTCGATGATTTTATTAAACGGTTTTCAAAAATCAATTTAAGCTACTAACTATTAGCTCGAGTAGATAGTACAAGAGCTGTATGACTCATCTACGGCTTGCAAACTAATGTGGCGTCGTCATGTTTTAAGTGAACCCCAACCGCGAAAAGATCGTGAACTATACAAGTAACATTTTTTAAATGTAGAATGCTCTGTTTATTTCTTTTGATTGGTTAGTCAACTTGACGCAGGCCAATGAGAGCGCCGAACGTCTAAACGTCCGATCTTCATAACGTCAAACACAAAAACGTAATGTATTCAATGTATCTATATATACTGCTCTTTATTTTTAGAAAGTACTTGACAAAAGACACTGATTATGATACTGAATGATCAGACAGAATACAAACATTTTTCTTTTGATAACAACATGTTAGGTCAACGAACTTTGTAACACTGTTGCTATCATTGAAGTTAACAAAACAATTCGTTTGGTGTTTATTTTTATTCGATAAGATACTTTATGATTCGTTTATTTCGTTACTTATTAATGAAACTCTTTGGAGTATGCGTGGGTATATACTGCGGCAGAATAATGTGGCCACCATAACCTATGTACCTAATTAAACAACAGAGGCATTACAACTTATTTGTATTACTCTTCGATCAATAAGTACTATTATTGATCGAAGGTATTACTGTCTTAAGCTGGTCAAAGCCGCTCTCAAATTTCTTCACGTCTGCCTGAAGACTTTACGGCCATTAATCACTTTATCACGCGTGAACGACTGGGTCAAATTCACTAATGAGACTTTTAGTGTACATACTGTTATTATTAGAAAAAGATTCTTATATGACTAGCTTCCACCCGCGGCTTCGTCCGCGTGGTATGAAGCCTGTATGTTAATCCAGGGTATCCTACATACCAAGTTTCAAACAAATCGGTCTAGCCGCTTAGCGTTGAAGAATATTAAACATTTACACAAACGCACAAACTCTTATATTTATAATTTTAGGAAGATAGGATAAGTAATTAGTAGTCAAATCGCCAGATGAAGCCTCTTTTGAGAGGGTGGAATCATCAAATAATGTCTCTCGCACTGAGTAAGGCAGAAAGGGTTTTCAATACTCTCTTACTGAAAAACACTCCATTCCAATTGCTGACCAGGACCGTCTACTTTACCCGAAACCTGCGCAAGACCAGATAAGGCCTAAGTAAATGGTATTATAATAAAATACTTACAACTATCATTCCCGTCAGTATTGTCAGTGGGTTCGGCACCCCGCAGCGCAAACGACACAGCATCCTGTCGGTTCCTGAACGCCTTGAACCTCGCAGACTTGTACCTTCGCACCAGCTCGAGAGCTTCAGACTTATTCTTGTAAACATGTAACGCTTCTGTAAGAGACAAGACGCATTAAGAATGATTCCTCATTTATTTAAAAATGGAATAAGGGATTAACAATTTTAAACACCAAAGCTGTTCATATCGACAACCGAAGACTGACCAAACTCAAGGCCTCCGGTCCAAAAACAAGACAGGATGAGCTACAAGTATTTTGTACACTTCTTTCTACGAAAATTTTATAAAGACCACTATTTATTGCATTTTTAGCTCCCGCCCGCGGCTTTGCGCGCGTATAGAAACAGCAGCGTTTAGAGAGATAAGGGGCTCGACTTAAATACGAAAATAAAGTATAATTTGCTTATAGGACCTACTCAGGAAGATTGTAGCTGTGTATCAGCGAAAGAATTTTGGAAATCCGACCAGCGGTTCCACAGATTATCCATTACATACAAACTTAAAAATATTACCTCTTTATAATATTAGTAAACAGTGATTCTTGGGCAACACCAACGGGAAAAGCCAATAATTACCGCAATAATTGATGATATTTAACAATGAAAAATATACCTTAAATCTTTTTTTTACTGATCAAAACACCTACGATTAACGTCCATTGTCGCGATAATTAATGACATTTCCCGTTAGTGTGGCCCAAGCATAAAGATAAACGTCTCAGATGAATTGGCGATAAATTATTCAATAGAACCAGTAACTAGATCGACAGATGTATTTTGGGAGCTCCACATTGCAGTAGCAACTAATACTTGTAAAAATAATAGCATCATTGACCGTGCTTCCAAAATAAACGAGCATACGTCATCAGCCTAATTGATAACGAATTGGATTGATCATTAAATACCTATGATACTATATTGATTGTGAACAAAAGCTGTTTGAGGAGGATCAAATGATATACATAATGTTATAGGTCATTTTCTTACCTACTATGGCTTCTGTATAGGGGTTTTGCCTGAGACAAAAATGAAAGAAACCAGTTTGTTTATGGAATAGGAACCAAAATTGTTCTGAGGCTCTGGATGCAGATGAATACACAAAACCGAGTGTGGCAAAACTGAAGGCGACTTGTGGTCCATCGATTAACTATTGCTGGGAGGCTACAATAGGTGCACTTGGCCTTATATAATAATGAGTTTTCAACAAAAAAAAAATGACCAACCAAATACACTTGACTCTTTTCAAATAACATTAACAATTTACTTGTTAATGCAATTATGGAAATAAGACCACAACAGAATACTTGGTCTTGTTTATGTTATATCTTCAGTAGAATTTATACTCAGTTACTTAAGTAATCTTGTAGCATGCAGGTGGCATATGACACATAATAAGCCTGGCTGTCTATACCTAGTTAGAGCTGAACAAATGGAAACCTAAACAGAGTATAGTCTTAGTAGTTATAAATACATTACAGTACTTTCACCTTTTGGAAACATGCCAATAGCTACAACTTCTGACAAGAGAATAGTATACAAAATGGCTTATTTACATATTGTTTTTCTTGTAAATAATGAGTTTAAAAAACAATGTTACATCACACTTGTTATCCACAACAAAGGAGTATATAGATGTGTAGAAAAACTATGCTGTTATAACTAATTAATTGTATGCGAGAGGCATGCAACTTGCATCATGTTAATAGGACTTTAAGATTATATGATTATTATTAGCAAAGTAGTACTGGCAGTCGAGACAGTGAAAGGAAAAAAGTACTTTATTTCACTCTGCAAACCTCCAATACCCAATGTATGGCATTAAGCTAACACCCTGCTATACTAGAAGTTTTCTTTGTCAACTGTGCCACATTACCTTGACTACAGTCATGACTAACAGTCCCATTATAACTTGAAACTAGGTTTTCTCAGTTAATCCACGTGAGTAAGTCATTATTTTCAATAAATGTATACAATAAATTATAAATAATGGTATCCAAACTCATTAGAACATACATGACGGTATAATTTTACATGCATAACAGGCAGGCAAGCCCTAATGCATATGTGACCAAACACCATACTTATTTGTCTTGAATTATCTTAAAAAACAAAATTATATATCTTTAAAAAAAATTAAATATTCAGTATATTTGCATTTTCTGTGTTACTTTTAAGTATTTTAACATTATTGTGACTTTAATACCATTTTCAACTTGCAATAATTTCAGTTCTTAATACAATACTCAATTATACCTGTCAGTTGTAAATGCAATATTAAAACAATAAATACTAATCCTATATAGAGCTGACCTAAGCAATATAAAGCAGTAATGCATTAAAAAAAGTGTGCATGAAATTTGCCAGTTAAAAAAAAACAAACAACCTTAACAGTAATCCAGGTAAATACAAAAGATTATAATTTGCAAAGGCTCTACATAGATTAAATGATATGAGGAAGTTGATAACTCTGTTGACCCACATCAATGCTATCTCACAGATAACAAACAAAAGAGGTTTTATACATTATACATTAAAAAGTTGGCATTAATTTTTTTTCCAATACTTGAAAAATTAAAATCATTGGTATCTATTTAGTCTTGATAAATAAACAATTTTGTATTCTATGGAATTTTAAGACTTTTAAATAAAAAAAATTTGAAAACACATCCATACTTCTTAGTTTACTTCAAAGAAAATTAGCTTGTTGTAAATGTTTGTTTTAGCATATTAGTAATTACATTTTATTAAAAAATACTATACTATTTATATATTACACAAACAATATAAACTTTTGAAGCTTTTAAGTTTGTTTGAACTAAAGTTTATGATAACATGAAATGTAGAACTACTAAGTAAATAGAAGTGGGAACATACCTTCATCTGGTCCCTTTTTGATTTCACTAGGTATATAAACTCCATAGTAGGTGGTAGGGGGTTCCACGGAGGTCGGACTCTCGGGCGAACTACTCTTCTTACTCAATGTATCCAGCCGCAGCAGCCTGCTAAACAGACCACCAATTGCCCCATCTCGTTTTTCAGTCGGAGACAATGATATCTCCTCTTTCATGCCCCCTATATCCTTATTACACTCCGGTATAATTACAGCCTTCGACATATTATCGTCTCCTGAAAATCGTAAACATTTTACTGTTTTGTTTGTGACGCAAAACGCAGCTAGCGAACAGTTTATTTTTACAATGATCCTATTTTGTATGGCCGCTCACCTGAACGACGAGACTTGTCATAAAAACATACTCGTAACTTTACTATCGGATACTGATTAGCAATTTCAGCGCATTTGGTATGAAAGTTTAAACCACATCAAAAAAAATCGGGCGTTTTTTGAAACAGAAAATTGAAATGCGTTAAGGAGAACGGTGGATGACGTTTTGACAGATTTATTTCATTCACTAGTGATGCAACATTCCAACTAAGCTGTCATTTAATTTTATTAAAACGAGTTACCTACTAAAAAGACAAAAAAATAAAAAACATAAAATGAAACAATTCGTAAAATAATTAAAAATTGTTTTTTCGGTTTTCATCAATATCATCAGCCTCATTTCGTCCACTGACGGACATTGACTTCTCCAAATGCTCGGCCGGCACTGAGCTCGATGTTCCGTTCTACTCATCCAACCGCTGCCAGCCACCAGTACTCGCTTTTTTCCGGATAGATAACCAGAAAATGTGCTTAAAATAAGTTGCTAGATTTCACGATAGAAATAGCCAAAGTAGTGTCGGATTATACCCGGAGAAATTAAAAATCAATAAATATTCAGTAACTATAACATTCAGTTCGTTCAGTTATTTATCAAAAACGGTAGATGTTTTTTTTTAGTTTTAGCATCGCAATTTAATGAAACTTGATTTTTAGGAGAAGGATTAAAGTTAAAATATTAAAATAAATATTTGATATTTATGTTCCTGAGAATCTCTTTATCTAAAGCCAATATCATTTTGTATTAAACTATTTGGGATAAATACTCGAGTATTTATCCTCCACCCATCACTAGTCACTTATGTAGACTTCCGCCTTTATCTTGGTCATCTGTCAAAATTCATTGCGTCTAAGATGTAAACAAATATTGTAAAAAAGAAACAAAACATCCTAAAAATGACGCAGTGTTGTGCTCCTGGCTGCAAAAATCAAGGCAGGCATATATTTCCTAGGGACCCAAATCGTAGAAAAGCCTGGGAAAAGGCTCTAAGAATTAAAAACTTTAAAGCAACCAAGTACTCAGTTTTGTGTTATGATCATTTTGTACCTGATGATTATTTTGGACAAAGTAAATATAATGGTAGGTGGGAATCGTTCTAAATAAATTGTTGTTATAAGATCATTTTACTTACCTAGAAAATAATCACTAGCGTTTTTTCTTTTTTTATTTTAGCTTATGAACCTCAGGCTAAATTACTAAAGAAAACAGCAGTACCTTCCATATTTTCATTTACAAAAACAAAATTGGAATCTTCATCCGCAAAACAGCGCTTGGAACGTTTAGAAAACAAGGGTCAGAAGAAATTAAAACTAGATGTACCTACGAGCCTCACTACAAAGTCACAATTAAACAGTGAAACTAGCTCTTTCAATGCACCTATTCAAATAGAATCATGCAATGAAGTGGAGGTAAATGCATGTGAAGTGCAACAGAATGTAGAAAGATCACTTACTTTAGCTGAAGATGTGTTTGTTTGTAAAGGTACACAAATTAATATTGAACAAACATTTTGGACCATTCAAAGATTTAAAACAGATGATGAAGCTATACAATTTTACACAGGATTTGAAACCTATAGGAAATTCTACTTTGTGTATTCTACATTAAGCCCAGTAGTCCATAAAATGAACAATTTAGGAAGCAAAATTACCAATGTTAGTAAAGAAGACCAATTCTTTTTGACTTTAATGAAACTAAGACAAGACAAATGTAATTTTGAATTGAGTAGATTCTTCAATGTTAGCACAGCAGCTGTATCAAATATATTTATTAGTTGGACTAATTTTATTTATCAACACTGGTTGAATATTGTTACATGGCCAGATAAAGATTTAGTTCAGCAGTATATGCCAGATCATTTGAAGAAATTCAACAATAATGGTTATGGTGGGGAAAAATTAGATGGCATGCATAAATCATCTCAGCAGTCTATGATCGGTGACATGGACACTGTGGGAGGTAGTGACTTTAGACAAAACTGTGATATTATTGATGTTATTCTGGCAGATCATGCATACACTCAAGATATATTTGCTGAAAATAATGTTACTATTAATACTACAACCTTTTTGGAAGGTCACACAGCATCAGCAGGCTTAATAAAAGATATAACTTTGGCAAATAAACAAGTACCAATTGAAAACTTGATTAGTTGTACAACTAAAGATTATAAAATACTCAAAAGTGGATTAGATCACAATTATATTACTATAGCAAGCAAAATATTTTATATTTGTGTGATCTGTTGTTATTTTAGAGATTGTATAACTATTAACAAATAAAATGCAAAGCATTTTATATGTATTGTATTTTTTGAAAAGTAGTTCTTGTACTTACTTTATATTTTTACTATCCTAGTTTATTTAGGCACCACCTATAAACAGTGGAGAACATTGGGAGATGAAATTATAAGGTTGTAATCACTATCTACCTTAAGTAAGTTTAGTAATAAATGCTCTAACCTTCTCAGTGTGGAAAAGGCCTTTCAGCAGTAGGCTGGCGATGTGATGTGAGGGAAATGGTATTGCAAGAATAAATAGACATTTCATTATATAAATAGTGTATTTCATATTTTTTATTGCAGTAGGCTCATTAATTTTTCTGCATGCCATGTTGCATAAAATGTGTCTGTGGTGACTCTGTGATCTCCACTCATGCCTATAATTTAATATGCTGCCAACATTTGTTACAGATTACCTACCAAAATAAAAGTAGCTGTGCATTTGTCAAATGTTTATAGAACTATTTCCATACTATTATAACTTCCATTAGATCTTAAACATGATGGAGTTGCTACATAAAAAAAACAACAGTTTTGATAGAAAATATTTATTCAGTAACCTTCTGCTTTCTCTTTCTATTCTTTTTATTTTTATTTGATGCATTTTGGATTACAGGAACAGAGTCCAAAGTTTTCTGAACAGCCATAGAATAAAGATTTGAATTAATAATTTTTAACTTATTAAGCTGGGCCAGAAGGTCTTCTTCCTTGTATTTAAACTCATTCTCCAGCTCTTTGGAACTGGCAAAGTCTTCAATTTGTTCTTGAGGTTCAGGCCAGAAACTAATCTTTGTTTTCATGAGGACTTCCATCTCTGTGACCTCTTCTGCATCTTTTTCTAGTGTTCTTTCTAAGCTGTGAAGGATGATGCTAGGAGAGAATTCTTGTTTGTAAATAGCTGGGTAGTTTGTTGTGAAGAATGCATTTGTAATTGGACCTTTATGTCTCATTATTCTCACTGGCTGTTTACTAGGTATATGCCACAGCACTACTTGCTCATCATTTCCACCAGACATGAGAGTTTCACCATCCAATGACACAGACAGACAGGTTACAGCTTTTGTGTGCAAAGAGAAAGTAGGACAACTAACCTCAGTGTTCACCAACACATCTCTGTTTCGTGGAGGATTTGTGAGACTAAACTGATATATTTTTCCTTCCATTGTTCCCACAAATATGTTCAGCTCTAAGACATCCATTGTAATGGAAGTCAGTGGAACATCAAATACCAAGTTTAATAGCAACTCTCCAGAAGACAAATCATAGATTTTGCAAGTTCTATCACTGGATACGGTACACAAGCGTCCATGCATGCCTGTCTTACTGATGCACATGTCACTCACAGGGAGAGAGTGATTGGAAAATATATACACTGGATCATGTTGACCCGCAGATGTTTGTGATACTAAGTCTACCTCAGGATGAGCTGACACTGTGGCTAGAGACCACACCATGACTATCCCATCGTCAGATGCTGACACAAAATAGCGTCCATCTGGGGTAAATTTCAATAAGGCCACTTTTTGATAGTGTTTACTTATGATTGTTAAGAGATTACCCGAAGCTGTTTGCCAGAGATATATTTTTTCTTCAATACCTGCTACTAAGTATGCTCCATCACGTGACACCGCGAAGGCTGTAGCCTTTCCTGGTAATATAAAACGCATGCCTTGTACAGTTTGATAAGAGTTCAATGGCCATATGTGTAATACTGGCTTCGTCTTTTCCACAGCTGCTAAATAATCATTTCCGATAAACGTAACAGTATTGTGTTCAGCTGTACCACCTCCTTTGTAAGTCATCAAACTGGTGCCGGTATGTGGGTCCCACACCGCATTCGTCCATAATGTATTATTCGAATCACTAGTAACTAAAACTTCTAACAATGTAGCCATTGCGTTTGAATATAACGTATAGACGCCAGTTAAATCTTGGAATGACTAGGTTTTTGTGGTTAAATTAATGTTTACTGAAGTCACATGTGGACCTTTGAAGTCATCACATTGTCAAGAAAACTGCTGCTGTCAATTTGACAAAAACAAAAGGTTGACAGACAAAATGACAGATTGTGAGTTATGTTTTGATTCGGGCTTAGACTATAGCATACAGTAAATTGATTTATTGGGACTATAAATACTTTAATTCCTCCATGAATGCGTGTGCCATATGATTTTTTCATAAAATTAAGGTATTTAATTAAATACATATGAATTAGGAACTTACTTTTCTATCTTTCAGACAACTATTATATTTTACAAGTTTCAAATCTGGGAATAAGAGGCTGCCGCCAAAGTATTTATGTTCGCTAGATTACGTTTTAGTTAGATTGTATTAGAATAAGGTATGATGGGACTGGCATACACGTCCGTGTAAAAGTCCCTAATAATAAATAAAGAGTTAAAAAAAAAAACTGGGAATAAATTAAGACGGACAACAGTGTAGTTTTATTGTAATGTGCACAACAGAAAAAAAATATATTATAGTATAACATTTTTCATAATAATTATTGAACATTAGACTAGTTGCACCTGAAACTTCTTATTTTTCCTTTTGTTGTTGTATCCGAATGCCGAATGATGAGGTATACAAGTGAAATAACCGGTAAGAAGAAAGTCGACCAATAGAATGCTAGTATAAGATCTTTTGATTGGTTCGCAGCTAAAGTGTCAAATAAGAACAACTCTCAACTCAATTTTCGTTCACGAACTTTGAAGTGTCACTAAAGTGTAGTGTTTTTATAGTGATTTTTGTAGAAAGACAGCTGCAAAATGTTTAAGAAGTAAGTGGTCTTATACTTTTTTAAAACTATTAGTTAATTAGAGAATACAGTATTGTAAGACATATCTTTTCAATCGTGGCAGAGGTTATATTCTCATTCGTTCAGGCATTCAGTAAAATGT